GGGAAGGAGGGATCACAATGGGAAACACTCATTGAAGGAGGGTCAAGAGAGGTGTTGGTAAATGTCAACAGGCTGGAAACCAGATGCAAGGTTGTTTTGAGTCAGAGGAATCAGAAGGAAGAAGGCCCTGAAGTTCTTGTAACCAACTGATTGGCTTCTGTGGCTTTCAGATGGCCCAGAGGGTGCTTTGGGATACCAAGTACTATTGTAGTAAGTGCTTGTCCACATATCACAACTTGTTAAAGTTGGCAGGGTTAGACTGAATGGAAACACAAGCTGTAAATCTAAAGGTAATTATTCACAAATGAGGAAAAATCCACTGAAACCAGTAGCCTATACATTATTTTTTTAAAGGTTTATTTGTTTATTTTGAGAGAGAGAGAGAGTGCATGCAGGAAGAGGCAGAGAGGGAGAGATAGAATCCCAAGTAGGCTCGACACTGAGTGAGACTTGGGGCTTGACCATGAAATCATGACCTGAGCCAAAGAGTTGGGCACTTAACTGACTGAGCCACCCAGGTGCCCTGGCCTTTACATTCTTATCAGAGGCCTGCCCTTCCCAGTTCAAAGTTCTATTCCTCCAGGAAGTTACTCAAAGTCCCTTCCCCACATAACCCTATAGTTTGTTTCTTAGTGGAATATAGCATTTCTCATAATCTGCCTGGTATCTTTGTGATTTCTGCATGTATCTAGCTCCTTCGTTAGACCATGAAACCTTGAGAAGAACTCATGTTTTATACATTTTACATGCTATCATTTGCTCTTGATATATGCTTAACAAATTAAACAATATTTTTAATTAAAGTATAGTTGACACTTTATTATGCTATATTAGTGAACAGGTGTTTGTCGAATCAAAATGAGGGAGGACAAGAAGTATGCAATAAAACTGATGAGAAGAGATGAACAATGTTCATAGGTGGTAGGGCCCTAAATAAAGGGGCTTTTAGGGGTGCCTGGGTGGCTCAGTTGGTTGAGTGTCAGACTTCTGCTCAGGTTGTGATCTCATGGTTTGTGACTTAGAGCCCCATATCAGGCTCACTGCTGTCAGTACAGAGCCCACTTCAGATCCTCTGTCCTCCTCTCTCTTTGCCCCTCCCCACCATATCTCTCATCTCTCTGTTTCTATCTCTCTCTCAATAATAAGTAAACATTAAAAAAAATAAAGGGACTTCTAAGGGCTGAGAGGATGGCGCTCCTTTACCCCAGAAAGGAATCAGCCTGGACACTACACTCATCACTTAGACATTGCAGCTCGGTGCCACTGATCAGCAATTAGTGGTATAGGCTGGATATAAAGAAGAAACAGAGTGGTATCCTCTAAGAACTAGGAAACAAGGAAAATAAGATCAGTTTATGAGAGTTAACACGGTGGCGAACACAATGCCCCCTTAGCTCTGGCATAGTTATTTGGTTGGCAAAACTCCCTGATTTCATCAGTAATAGTAATCTGAAGAAAGGTTGCTTCAACTCAAGAGGGTGGCTAATTTAGAAAAGCAGGACTCAAAAGAACAAATATTGGCAAGATGCCGTTAGCACCGTCCACCAGAATGAAGAGCTAAATTTGGACTTTGTAAACTTTTTGCCAGTTGAGAGATTTTTCTCTGTTGCAAGGCAGAGGGAGTTCATCTGGCTCCCTGAAAGTCCAACTGAAATCTCCTTTAGGGGATCAGTCAGTGGCTCTCTAACTGGGATTGAATCAAATTGGGCCCAACATATATGAAATACATATGTGAAATTCAGGTGTGGCAAGGACATTCCTTATTAAGCCTCAGTGGGGTAGGTAGTTACCATCTCTTTGGGGATTCACTCTGGACCAGTGGTTTCCAAAAAGGTGGTCCTGGGATCAGAGATCAGAACTATCATTACCTGAGCAATACTTTTTAGAAATATAAATTCTTGGGTCCTATCCCAGATCTACTGAATCAGAAATTTCTTCAGCAAAATTGCCTGAAGAATCTGTTAAAATACCGATTGCCAGGCCCAGCCCCCAGGATTTGGAAATGCTGCTAAGGGTGCACTCCACTTGTTAAGATTAGCACTTCTCAAATTTTAATGTGAGTGGAAATAATCTGCGAACCTTGTTAAATTATAGTTTGTGATTCACAAATCAGTGAGGGAGGCTAAGAGTCTGCATTTCCAACAAGGTGATGCTGCTGATGGTGGTCCACAGCCCACCATTAGCAAGACCCTGAGGCAGAGGTTCCCAAACTTGTCTGCACATTAGTATCACTGAGGGAGCTTTAAAAACTACTGATACCTGGGGTCCTACTCTGGAGACTGTAATTTAATGGGTCTGGGGTGTGGCTTCGGATTTTTAAAAGATCTCCAATGTTTAGGCTTTGCTGGCCTTGAATTCCTTCTCAGCTAACCAGAAAGTAAACTCTAGGTCTTCCTAGTAAATTAGGAAGTGGTGGTCCCCAGTTGCTATTCTTCCTGCATCGCTAGTGTCATCAGATCTGATGCTTCAGTGCTCATTGGACTAAGCTGGAAGGGCTTGCATATGCTTTTCTGTCACCGGTAGGGCAGGCAGATATTTCCTACAGAGGGCTACAGAGGAGGGCACCTTGAGGTTGGGACAATTACCTCCAGTATCTCCCTTATTCCAAGGGGAAGAGGCTTTCAGAAGGAAGTCTTGTGTACACTCCACTCTGTTCTTCCTTCCTTCTTCTCAATACGCCACCACTCGTGTCTTCTTGCAGAACCCCTTTTTTGGGTTCCCTAGATCTTATGTTCTTTCACCAAACTCCTCCTCTTCCCCTATAGGCCGACCTTCAATGGGCAGTAATGCCCCTGGGGTGGGTTCAGGAATTCGTGGAGGCGTTTTTTGCTCTCATAATGATTAGAGTTATCCATAGACATTTAATGAGCAGGATTAACATCTAGTCAAGATTGCTAGACATTCAGCAACTGTTCAGGGCTCTCCCACACAATGGGGAATGTGCCTACATCACTGACAACTTTGAATGATTTGCCAGCCATTTGTGTAGTTGAAAACCCATTGTAATTAGGATCTGAATTTATTTTAAATATAAACAAGGCATTTCGTATTTAGCTTAGTATATCTTGAACTTTCCGGGAATGCCACTGATATAAATATCATAGGATGATCACGCCTTGTTCTGTTCAAAAATTTTCCAGAAATTATTTGTCATTTTGGAAAATCATGCCACATCAGCACCTCTATTCATGGTATTTGAATCACCATCATAACACCCCTATATCATGCTACATTTGTGACTGTTACATTCAAGGTGCTATTATATAGAGCTGCATGTGTCTGAGTACTACATTGTGCCTTCTTGAATGTTGTGCCCAAATATATTTTTTTAAGTTTATTTAGTTATTGAGAGAGAGAAAAAGACAGAATGTGTGCTCATGAAGAGGGGTGGGGCAGAGAAAAAGGGAGAGAGAATGGCAAGTAGCCTTCTTGCTGTCAGTGTGGAGCCTGCCACAGAGCTCTGTCTCATGAACCATGAGACCATGACCTGAGCTGAAAGCAAGATTCAGATGCTTAACTGACTGAGCCACACAGGGTCCTCCCAAACATTTACATGCATAAACACATAATGTTTTTATAATAGTCTTCTTTTTATCCTTTTATATCTCTTCAGACATTTTATAAATTTTTAAATTGTGTATGGAGGTATGATATATTATTTATAAATTGTAGTTCAGGGTTCTAAAGGGGGCATAAAAATATTTGTTATAAGAAGGGAGTGTTGGGACTGGTAGTGTAAGTAGCAAAGGAAGCATCTAAGGAAAGAAACTGGAATCTGGCTCAATAAATTGAGAAGGTAGGATTTGGGGGCACCCAAATCTGAGATGAAGCTCAGGTGTTTACCTGAGAATGAAAGGTATCTCCTTAAGGAAGGGAATATTATCTAGAAGACAGATAATCTGTTTTACCCAATGTAAACTTATTTCTCCTGTTACTATCTGTTTGGCTCTGCTCTTTATGAAATGGCCCTAGAATTACCATCCTAAAGGTCACTGACTCTTTCCTGAGCCTATGCCCCCCCTTCTGGGAAAAGTTCTGCTTAGCCTTTCAGGATGGCTCCAAATACATTCTTTGTAATCCACGGATCTCTCTCAGATGGACACTGACACGCTCTCAGTTCACTCTGCCTTAATTATTCCATATCTACATTTGGTTACAGGCCATTTCCCTCACCTTTTATTTCCATTTTCGCCAGGTAACTTTATGATGAATTAAGAGTCCAACTCTCTTTGATACCAAGAGAAAAGGAGTCCAGATAGGCAGAGAACATGCCAAAATCCTTCCCAAGAAACAGAGTTTGAAGATATAACAGGTGAAAGGAGAGGAAATCTAGTGAAACTGGGATTTGGTTAGGAGAAAAGAGAACCAGGAAATGGGGAGTGGGGGGCGGGGAAGCGGAGGTGGGGCGGGGACTAAACGCAGGTCCCAGAAGATGCTGCAGGGTCCTCTAAGTGTTCGGATTCCCAGCGAGCAAGTCACCTCCCCGAGGCCCCGGGCTGGCACAGCGGCGGCCACACCCCGCCGGGCCGCGTTCCCTCCCGGCTCCCCGCCCGCTCCTCCTCAAGCTTCCACTCTTCCCGACAGCGGAGCCAAGAGCCCGGCTCCCGCTTCCTGCCGCCGAGAACCTAGAGGCCCCGCTTCAGACAGCCAGGGTCTCCGGCCATACTGGTTCCGGGGACGGTCCGGGCGCAGGTAGAAGCCGGCCCGGGCCCTGGGACCCGGCTGCTGGGCTCGGCTGCCGGAAGCCGGCGGGAAGGGCCTGGCGTAGTCACTTAGGAAGCGCCCGGGAGTGGGGAGGATCTGCGCCGGCGAGGGGAGCCTGCCCGCCGCGCCCTCCCGGAGCTCGGGGAGGGGGTGTGGGTGTGAAAGGGAAAGCGGGAGAACTGGCGAGGACTGTGAGGGGGAGGCAGGGGCGGGGGTGGAAGGCTCCGGAAAGAGACCAGGTGAGAATGAGTCTTCACTCCTCGGCCCTGAGTGCTCCTTGGAAGGGAGAGTAGCTGCCGCTGGTGACACGTAGGTGGTGTGAGTACTGCCTCCAATAAGCAGGAGAGACTGACGCCCAACTTAAAAGTGGGCGTTAATGTGTTAACTGGCAAGGTCTCCAAGACACACTAAGTGCAGAATATGGTCCTCTGTGGAAAGGAAAAAAAAGGTGGGGGGGGGGCGGTAAACATGTATTTGTACATGCATAGAAGAGTGTCTGAAACTGCATACGAAACTGTACGCCATGGTTATCTCTGCAAAATGGAGTTAGAGATGAGATTTTTACTTTTCATTAGTAGCCCAGCTGAATCTCCCGTCACAAACTCCAGGGTCCAAAAAATATTTAACTGTGTTTTTTCTTTTAACTTACTTTTTATTGTAAGGGTTTTTGTTTTTTTTTTAAATCTTGGGTCAGTTCTGAGATTCCCTGCTCCTTTCCCTAGGGGCTTATATAGTGCAGACATGAGGGAAGTGTACAGGGCACAGAGGCCAACATTCTTGATGTAATCTGCTTACACTGATATCTGGTGAAATATCACTGTCTTTTTCTAGTTCTGGTTTGATAGCCCCTTCAAGTCTTGGAAGTATTCTGCATTCCTGTCCCTAAGCTCTTATATAATAAGATCTAAGTGATCAACTTAACATACTTATCCCTAAAATACTTAAGTGTAAATAGGAGATAAGCACTTGTCCAACTAAGTAAGTAAATCATGCCTAATGGTATAAATTCAAGCATTTTCTCAGGCAGAGGTTCTTAATTTGCAGTTAATGGAGATTCTAGGAGTTCCATGAATGGGCTCCCTGACAGTTGAGTGCAAAATAGAATATACTCATGTTTTTCTGTGAAAAAGCTACATAGCTTTCACTAGATTCTCAAAAACCTCTGAATCCCACTGAGTAGGCAATGTAGAAACAATGGGGAACAAGGCTAAAGGGTCTCTGTCCTCAGGAGCTTGTTGTCTAGTGGGGGGGGCAGGTGGACATATAGGCAATTACAGTATAAGGATGTGTTCTACGATAAAGTTTGCTGTTGTAAGAACATAGAGCCATCAACATCAGATACGGCTGGCTGTCAGCAAAGTTGCCGTAGAGGAACTGACTATTAAATTGAGACATGCAGAGTGACAGGAAAGTAGAATTTGGACTGGTAAAGGAGGGGCTGGGGAAGGGAGTGGTCTTGGCACAAGGAAGAGTGTTTTAGGCATCTGCCTGTGTAAAGATCCAAGGTCAAGAGATACCTTGGTTATTCATAAGCTTAAAAGAGTTTGTATGGTTGCAGTTTAAGTATGAGTAGCAGTAAGGGATGAGGCTGGGAGAGTATCAGAAGCCAGGTTATGTGTATGATGCTGGCTATGCAGATGTGAACAAGAAAGAGAAGCTCCTTGAGCTTCAGGGAGTTTTATTTTAGTAAGGAGAAACAACGAACAAGTAGACATGTAAGCAAACAAAATCATTTTTTATCGTGGTAAAACAAACAAGGTGATGTCGTAAATGGTGGCTGGGGTATGTATTGAGGAGCTCCTTTAGACAGAGCTACATATAGTGTGCCATATAGATAGAGTTTCAGCAAAGGTGGTGACGGGTAGAATGGAGAGAATTGGATAGATTTGAGAGACACTGAGGGAGTAGAATCAATAGATTTGGTAGTTTACTGGATGACAATAATAATAAATAATAAAAGCTTCCAGTTAACTAATTACCAGGCACTGCTCTAAGTGCTTAATATACTTTTATTTATTCCCATAATAACTCTGTGAGGTAGGCATTTATCTCAGTTTTGTAGGTGAGGAAACTGAGGCACAGAGAGTTTAAGTAACTAGCCCAAGTAGATTCAGGGTCTCATCAGGATTCAAACTCAAGTTTGTTTCATTCCATACCCCTGTAAGCAGAGGGGGAAAAGGAGGGGGTTGGGTTTGGGGAAGAGTGGGAAAAAGGTGATACATTTGGGGTCTAGAGTTTTGGGTACCTTTGAATCAGCCCAGTGGAGGTGTCCAACAGGAAAATGGATAAATGGATGTGAAACTCAGATGAGATCTAGGTCAAGGAATGAATTTGTGAGTTGCCAGCATAAAAATGTGACTTGGAGCCTGAGTAGGTGAGACTACCCTGGAAAAGTATGGAGAGGAATAGAATAGAATTCTAAGGAGCTTCCACATTCAAGGGACAGCAGAGAAAGGATCTTCATGAAGAGGGGGTCAGAGATGTAAGAGAAAAACCAGGACAGTAGCACCATGGCAGCCAAAGGAAAAGAAAGTTTCAATGACAGAGTAAGCAACAGTGTCATATTCTCTTGAGAGATGAAGTAAGATAAGGGCCAAGATGCATCTGTTCTCGTAGTAACAAGAATTCCATTGGTTAACCAAGAGGACAGCTTTGGAGGCATAGGAGCCACAGAATCCAGTTTAGTTGGTTGAACAGTGAGTAGGAGGCAAGGAAGTTGAGGTTGGTGAATATAGACATCTTGATCAAAATGTTTGTTTCTCTAGAGCTAAGTATCTAGAGTCCAGATTATAGGTGCTCCCCCTATATTTAGCCGGGATCACACTCATAGCTCTAGGGGGCTCCTTCTTCATGAGAAGACATGTCCTTTTCATTTAGACTTCCCTGCTCTTAAGCTACTACCTTACCTTTTCCCTACTCCTCTCACTTAGAGTACCTAGAGAACTCCTAAGTGTTCATTCTCTCTGTGTTCATTCTTTCTGTATAATATTCTCTGAATGCATCCTTAGAATGAACCCAGTCCTGGACAAAGAAATCTTGGTTGTTCTCTGCCTGCATGTCGCTGGCATTATGAGGAGGACTATTAGAAAGACCTACTCCCAGTGCACATGCACTCCAGGAGCTCATCACCTGTCTTTCTTTCCTTCTAGGCATATGCTGGTTGGGCTCCAGCTATGGAGAAACTCCATGGGCATGTGTCTACCCACCCAGATATCCTCTCCTTGGAGAACCGGTGCCTGGCCACACTTCCTGACCTGAAGACCATGGAGAAACCACGTGGGCATGTGTCTGCCCACCCAGATATCCTCTCCTTGGAGAACCGGTGCCTGGCCACACTTCCTGACCTGAAGACCATGGAGAAACCACGTGGGCATGTGTCTGCCCACCCAGACATCCTCTCCTTGGAGAACCGGTGCCTGGCCACACTTCCTGACCTGAAGACCATGGAGAAACCACGTGGGCATGTGTCTGCCCACCCAGATATCCTCTCCTTGGAGAACCGGTGCCTGGCCACACTTCCTGACCTGAAGACCATGGAGAAACCACGTGGGCATGTGTCTGCCCACCCAGACATCCTCTCCTTGGAGAACCAGTGCCTGGCCACACTCCCCATTCTAAATAGTACTGTGTCTGCCAGCCGCTTGCTCCACTGTCTCCAGAGAGCTGATTTGGTGAAAGGTGATCACAGCCTGAACATCAGCAACTGCCTGCTCTCTGAGCCTCCAACTTGGAGGGCCCAAGGCCTCTCTGAGGGGCTGGGCCATCTGACCTGCCCCAGGGCCTTTAATTCCATCTCTGCCACAGAGAGATCTCCTGAAACAGCTTTGGTAATGGCTCCAGGCACCCACCTTAAGTCCACCCATGTCTGTTGGTTGCTGTAGTCCCTAGATTTTGATGTCATGGTTTCCCTCTGACCTGCTCTGTGTCTGTGTACCTTCTACCCTCAGAGCCCCTTCCTGAGGTGCCCTTTCTCCTCGGGCTGTGTTCTTCGGCATCATTACTTTTATTGCATATCTAGTTCAAATATTCTGGACAACAGAGCCAAAGCAGGTCCAGCCCTGAGAAAGCCCCTGCTTAGGAGGAGGGGCAGCATGATACTGTAGGAGCAGTCAGTCAAGTGCTTTTGAGATCTTACATCTGGCATGAGACACATCTGCTATACCGGGGTCCACTTCCCTGTATGTATATGTGTAAACGTATGTCCACTTGTACACATCAATACAAGCACATTTACGATACAGAGCAGAATCGGTAGGTAAATACATATTCCTTCTGTATGGACTTAGGATTCAGACTGAGGCAAAGGCTATACTATCTCTGCCAATTACAAGCCATACAACCTTGGCCAAGATTTAACCTTTTGAAACTTTAAGTTCTCCATCTTTATAATGCAGTCGATGAGGGGCTCCTGGGTGGCTCAGTCAGTTGGGCGTCCAACTCTTCATTTTGGCTTGGGTCATGATCTCAGGGTTGTGGGATAGAGCCCCACATCAGTCTCCACACTGAATGTGGAGCCTGCTTGGGATTCTCTTACTCTCTCCCTCTGCCCCCTCCCCCATCTGCATGCACTCTCTCTAAAACATTAATTAATTAATTTAAAAATATAGTCAATGAAAATCTACCTCATAGGGTCATTGTCAGGATTACTATGGCCATCTTACATTTATGTGAGGCTTTGCAATTTGCCAAGAGCCATTTATATATTATCCCACTTAATTTTCTAATGGCACCGTCAGGTGGGTGGTGGTAGGGAATGACCTGCTCAGAGGTCAAGCAGTTCAAGACTGCTGGGGGATTGATCTGGGACTTGGCCCTTTTTCTTCTGAATCTAGAATACCTTAATAGTATCCTGGGAGGTGTGTTGTGAAGGGCCCCAGACTCCTAAGCTTTGGCATCAACAAGGAGAAGAAAGCAAGGGGAGATCCCAAAGCATCACAAGTTTGAGTTGGGAAAGGTGGGGTGTGTGAGAATGAGGGGGTCACTGCATCAGCCAGGATAGATCCATGTTGGAGAGTAAAGGGGGAAGGAGAGGACTTTAGATGATAAAAGATTAGATGTAGACTCTTCCTGTCTCTGGGAGCTGCCTTCATATCTGTCTTTGTTTGAGGGACTGTGGGTACATGCTGTGATTAACAAGTGCCACTATCCTCAGGATCATTGCTCCTCTTCGGAAGAGAAAATGCCAGAAGCAAAGGAATGGGCAGAGGTTCAAATGCCTTTTTATAACCTAAGCTTGGGAGAGGAGGAAAAGGTAGAGGAGCCGGTCCTGAAGCTCACCGCTGGGGACTCTGGATCTTGTTCTGAGCCCACTGACCAGGCCATTAAGGAAAAGAAGGTAACAGTCCCAGAGCTGGGGAGAAGTTGATGATGGTGGAGGGGAGGATGCATGGGAGGGGTGGTGACGGAAGGCCGAGCCAGATCCCCTCCACAGATAGAAGGGGAAGGAGATGGGACATTGCCCAGCTCTTATTTTTCACTCCCTAATCCCTTTTTCTAACCTCTCAGTTGGACAAACATCTTCCTGAGTGTGGGGTTGTTTTTCTCTGTTCTAGATTTCCTAAGCTGGCCTGAGCTGGTGCTTCAGTTGATCCTCATTCCCTCTTTTTTTCCTTTCTCCCATCTCTTTCCTGATTCTCAGATGGCTCTCATGAGCTTGCTGTGCTCCACACTGGCATCAAATGTAAACATAAAAGATGCATTTGACCCTACCTCGGTGTCCCTCTTTGAAATCTGTAGTGAGCTTGCCCCCTTGGAGCCCGAGTTCATCCTCAAGGTACTGTGCCTGTGAGGGAGTGGATGGGAGCGGGGAGGTAGGAAGTGTGGCCATGGTGTGTGAGGGGTCAGTGGCCAGCTTGGTACCAGGGGTGGGAGGGAGGAGGTTCACATGGGAAGGGAAGATGATCTTTGGGTGAGTCTGAGGGCTAGTCCCTGGGGTTCTCTGAGGAGCAGGGGAAGATGAGATTGGGAAAGAGTATACTAGGACTCATTTGTTTAGTAAGTACAAGTGCTAGGCTAAGTACATAGTGCTATGCCATGAGGGTCATTCCAAAAGATGTAATTAAACTTGGATCTGGCTCTTAAGGAGCTGATGATATTGTTAGGGAAGCAGAACACTCCCAAGTATTATATAAATGCAAATAGAGTAGTAGGTAGTGAAGGCTTCAGAAACAGAGGAAAGGGGGGAAAAGAGTTTTCTATGAGGCTTTGGAAGACATCAGGTTTAATCAGCAGTTTGAACCCTGGGTAAAATTTCCGTAGACTTTGATGATGGAAGCCTTCTAAGTGCCTGGTTGACTTGGGAGGTAGTTTAGTAGACACGGAAGAAGCCGTGCTGCAAAGGTACATAGGGGCTAGATTATGGAGATATAGAGTGCTAAGCCAGGAGGCTTGGACTTTCTATTTTATAGACCATATAAAGGGCTCAGGAAAGGTTTTATGCAGGCAGATTAGGTTCACAAGTTAGTTTTGGGCATGATGTTGTGGGACAAGAGGCTGAGATGCCCGCCTTCCTCACCCTTTGCCCTAGGCATGTCTGTACACTAGGCAGCAGCTGAACATCCGGGATGTGGCCAACAAAATGTTGGCCATTGCTGCCTTCTTGCCTGTCTGCCGCCCTTACCTGCGACGGTATTTCTGTGCCATTGTCCAGCTGCCTTCTGATTGGATCCAGGTAGCTGAGTTCTACCAGGTATGGCACTCCGTTCCCTGAGCTTTGGCTCTTACTGGTTCCTCCTCCTTTGCTCACTGCATCCCTGTGGAAAATTCTCAGCCAGTTTTTGCCTCCCCTCAGCTGTCTTCAACCCTACATCCCAGGCAGGACAGCTTCTCCCTGAACTGGGTTGAGTTGCCCAACAAGAGGAAAATGATTGAGAAGAGCTGGACCGCAGTTTGAGGAAAATTGGTCTTATTCTGGACTTCATGTTTATGACTGGCCCAGTACCACAGAAGTTGTCACTTTAGAGGGCTGGGAACTGCCTCCATATTCTGTGCTCTCATTTAACCCTAGAAAGTGGTCTCGCTTGTTTAAGAGGTCAGTTTGTGTCTCCCTCCTGATGGCCTCTCCTCCCTCTCTGATAGGACCTGGCTAAAGGAGAGGAGGACAAGCTGGTGCCCCTGCCTGCCTGCCTGCGTGCTGCTATGACTGACAAATTTGCCCAGTTTGATGAATACCAGCTGGCTAAGTACAACCCTTGGAAACACCGGGCCAAGAGACGTCCCCGCCGGCCCCCTCGCCCCCCAGTCAGTCCCTGCTCAACCTGGTCATTCAGTCCAGGCCCCTTTTCTCTGGAGAGAGGGAGGGTTGGAGGAACATGCTGACTCTGGGAGATCCCACACTGAACATCTGACATGTTCCTACCACCAGAAGTAAAAGGTGTCAGAGAAAGGCAGAGGAGCTGAGTAGAGCTCAGGGGCAAAGAGGCAGGGCTTACCTCTTTCCTGAGTGCCTTCCTTTTTAGTAGAGAGGGGCTTTTGGAACTATTGGAATGAATCTCTCTAGGGACAAGCTCCATTTTCCTTTTTGAAATTGCTTCTTCTGGGGCACCTGGGTGGCTTAGTTGGCTGAGTGTCTGACTTGATTTTGGTTCAAGTTATGATCTGAGTCATGCGATCGGGCCCCACATTGGGCTCCATGCTGAGTGTGGAGCCTGCTTAAGATTCTCTCTCTCTCTCTCTGCCTCCTTCCCCTACTTGCTGTCTTTCAAATTAAAAAAAAAAAAAATGGGGGCACCTGGATGACTCAGTTAAGCATCTGACTCTTGATATCGGCTTAGGTCATGATCGCACAGTCATGAGATCGAGCCTAGTGTCAGGCTCTGCACTAAGCATGGAGCCTGCTTGGGATTTTCTCTGTCCCTCTCTCTCTGCCCCTCCCCAACTTGCGCACACAGGCACGCATACTCGCTCTCTCGCTCTCGCTGTCTCTCTCAAATAAACATTAAAAAAATAAAAGTGAAATTGCTTTCCTGTCCCTGCAGAAGACGAAGCCCCCATTTTCCGAGACACAGCGTTTGCCAAGGTACCTTAAGCCTCTTAAAGATGAACAGAAAAAGGTGAGTACCTTGTTCTGGGATACTGTATATATGCATGTACAACTTTTTCTTATCTAATATTTCAAAATGGAATTCCATTTGGTTTAGAAATACTAATGGTATGGTAGGCACATACCAGTTTCCTACCTGGGGAGTTCTCAGTCCTGATTATATGCTCAGGTGTTGAGAGCACTGAGAAAGGCTCCTTTTATTTTCCAATTTGCTCCCCTTGGTATTTACTGACAGGTGGCGTGTCCAGCCGGATAAGTGAGTTAAAAATGTGTGAAACATCTACCTTCCATAGGAAGTTTGAAAAACAAACCAAGCAAAACCTTTTGCGTTAATGACAAATGAGGCTCCGCACTTGGTGGTTAAGATCATAGAATCAGGGTTTGGACCTGGGTTTGAATCCCACCACCACCACCACTTGCTGGCTGTGCGACTTTAGCCAAGTGACTTACCCTGTCCTCCTTCAGTTTCCTCAGATATAAAATGGAGATAATAACAGCACCTCATTGGGTGTTTCATTGGGTTTTGTGAGGATTAAACCAATTACTGAATTTAAAGTACTTCTGGGGTGCCTGGGTGGCTCAGTTAGTTGAGCACTGACTCTTGATTTCTGCTCAGGTTATGATTCCAGGGTCTTGGGATCGAGTTCCACATCAGAGTTTGTGCTTAGTGTGAAGCCTGCATAGGATTCTTTCTCCCTCTGCCCTTCTCCCCCGGCTTGCACTCTCTTCCTCTCTAAATAAATAAATAAATAAATAAAGTATTTCTAACAATATGTGGCACTGAATAAGTGTTAGCTATCACCAATCATCCTTAAAATAGATCATTAGGAAAATGTATGATCGTGTTATAAGAGAACACATTTTCAGTTGGTCAGCTGATCTTTTCTCTTTATTCTAATACATCCCAAAGTAAGCTCTTCTACCACAGATGATTCTGGAAGCCAATTTCTTTCAGTTTACTCATTTCTCACAGCATTGTTCTGATACCTCCATTTACATCCTCCTCCAAGTCTTGGGATTTAAATAAGAGCTGCTTTTTTCCTTTCCCTTCAAGAATAAGATGTTCTCTGTTCATTTTATCCCCATCTTGTTTTTCACAAGCCAATTATTTCATGGTAATTGAGTTATTGATAGCTCAGTCTTGGTATAAATGAAACACAGTGACTCCAAAGAGCTACTATCGTGTGTTCACTGCAGGATCTCTTGTTGCTGGAGATTTTTTCCCCCATTCCTATTCTTTGCCTAGATCTACTCTGGGTAAAGAAATGACCTCATAGCTATAGGAGGTTTGAGGTTCTGATTTCTGAAGCAAGTGACTATGGTCATGGATTAAATGACCCCTGTGTGACCTGAGGGATATTTCCACAGTTTGAGGAGACCTACAATGCAGTACCAAAGAAAAAGCAGCCAAGATTCACTCTGAAGAAGTTAGTACAGCGACTGCACATCCAGGAGCCTGCTCAGCATGTCCAAGCCCTGATGGGCTACAGGTGAGAAGACACACCCTGAACATACCTTCCACCTGGGTAACGCCATGGCTTTTTCAGCATCCATGGTCCCAGCTCCTGTAGTTCTGACCCCGGCAACATTAGTTTGGGCAGATATGGGCTGTAAACATGACTGACTAGCTTTGACTGACTGACTTTTTCTGAGTTATTTTCAGTTGGCCTGGAAATGATAATCTTTTCCTTCTCTGTCCCAGATACCCCTCCACCCTACAAAAGTTTTCTCGAAGTCGCCTCCCTGGGCCGTGGGATCCTAGCAGAGCTGGGAAGCGGATGAAGCTTCTTCAGCCAGAGACCTGGGAGCGGGAGCTGAGCTTGCGGGGAAACAAAGCTTCCGTCTGGGAGGAACTCATTGGTAGAGTAACTTTGATCATATACGGCCTTCCTCTCTTCCCCATGCACACATCTACCTTATGGAAACTGACTTAATTTCCATGGCATGATACAGTTAATCTCTTGCCTGGTGGTTGCATCACTGAAAGTGATCAGATTTATGATGTTTGCCACTGACTACACCAAAGTGGACCAGTGGTACCTGCTTTGAGTAGTATTGGCATCATAGGGTGATCATTCTTCCAGATGTGGCTAGGTGATGCACCAGCCTCTATCAACATGTGACAAAAATGGTAACTTCTCTCTGATTTCACTTGCATCATACTGGATAAGCCATCCAAACAAGATGGGACTGGTACATGGCATATTGGAATCTCCACAGAAACCCATAAGTTTAGGACATGGATGATTTAGGCAATTTGCCCATACTAATAAAGAAAAAGCATTTTTAATTGGGAGGACGAAGTTACTCTCAGTCTTCGGTTGGTCTCTTTTAGCCTATTTTTAATTATAGAAGGCTCTTTCTATTTGATTTTGTCTTTTTTTACTTCCTCTTTCATCTTTGAAAATTTCAAGTCTACTTCTATCTGTTGGAAAAATATCTTGCTGTGGATCTCTTAACTGCTTGAGTTTTGGAGAGTTCATACTTTGGAGCTTCAGAAGCCCCAGTTGTTTTTTACCTATTTCTCCGTGAACTGCCAAGTATAGATAATACTCAGGGCAGCCCGAATTGCTCAGCTGTTTATCTGTCACAGCTCTCACTGTGATGGTGTAGTCATCAGAATCACATGGGGATTAAAACACACACATACCTAACAGCCTCTTCCCCAACATTTGATACTTTGGGTGGAATAGAATACAGTGGCCTGGATGGCATCCAGGATGTATAGATGATTCTGGTATGGGTCATTTCCACTTCCTCCCTCTGCCCCTGAAAATTAAAACTGTCATTTATCTAGGCTGAGACTAATGCCCATAGTCTAATCCGGTGGGCTCAAGAGGTTTTTTTTTTTTAATTTAAAAAAAATTTACTTTTGAGAGAGCATGAGTGGGGCAGGGGCAGAGAAGGAGGTACAGAATTTGAAGCAGCTGCCAAGCTCTGAGCTGTCACTATAGAGCCTGACGTGGGGCTTGAACTCGTGAATCACAAGATCATGACCTGAGCTGAAGTTCGCTGCTTAACCGACTGAGACACCCAGATGCCCCCAGAGTTTTTTGATCATATATTACACAAAAAGTTTTGGAGTATACCAGAATGATTTATATATAATTTAAACAGTTTGGTATATGTACTAATAAATTATGTACTTTAGGAAATACATGAAATATAATTATATAAATACAGAGCTGAAAGTCAGTATGAGTGGAGGAGGGGCAGAGAGAGAGAGGGAGACACAGAATCTGAAGCAGGCTCCAGGATCTGAGCTGTCAGCACACAGCCCAACATAGGGCTCAATCCCATGAACCAGGAGATCAGGACCTGAGCCAAAGTTGTACGCTCAACCAACTGAGCCACCCAGGCGCCTCTTAAAAGAGGTGTTTTTTTTTTAATGTTTATTTATTTTTGAGAGAAGGAGAGAGAGCAAGAGAGGGAGAGAGAACGAGAACGAGAGCACACAAGTGGGAGAGGGGCAGAGAAAGAGGGAGACACAGAATCCAAAGCAGCCTCTAGGCTCTAAGCTGTCAGCAAAGACCCTGACATGGGGCTCAGACCCATGAACTGTGAGATCATGACCTGAGCTGAAGTTGGACACTCAACTGACTCAACTGACCCAAATGCCCCTGGAAATCATTACTCTAGATTAAAGAATATATTTTGTCAGTTGAGTCCAATCTCAGGGCTGGAGCCAGCAAAGTAATAATAGAAGTTGTTTATTCAAATAGCCATTATAGACAATGTTATATAAATCTTGCTCCACACTTCAGGCCAATTCTGTTTTTATGTTCCCAGACCTCTAAAACATTTTGAGTAGGGTAGATCGTATGTTATAGTACCTCACCCTCCATCTTGAATTTTCTACGTGGCCTCTTGCTCTGGTCTGTGACCTCTTTTACTCATCCTTTGTTTGCTTTCCTCACCCTGTGCCTGACCCTCCACAGAGAATGGGAAGCTTCCCTTCATGGCCATGCTTCGGAATCTGTGCAACCTGCTGCGAGTTGGAATCAGTGCCCACCACCATGAGCTTGTGCTCCAGAAACTCCAGCATGAGGTATGTGGGAGGCTCAGGAAGACTAGTGGTTGCAGAGGTGCTGCCACATCTTCCTTGAGGCTGGGGAAGGCCATGGCCACCAAGCCATTTCCACATGAACTGTACACAGGTACACGGGGGAGACAGATCTGGGGAGACAACCCCCAGAGATTCAAGTATAAAAACTTTTCCTTTTTATATTCTGGGATCATTGATTTACCAAGAAGAAATACTTTGTGATGTAACTGACTTCAGAGGGAGTCTGGTACAAAAGAAATAAATTTGGCTCCTTCCATTACTTCCTCTCCATTTTTCTTCACCTCTTCTCATTTTCTCACTTGACAACTTTCTTTTTTCTTTATTCTTCTCCACCTTTCTCTGTATCTCTTCTCTAATATTCATTTTTATGCTTCTTCACTTTCCCGCAAATCTAATAGAGTAGTTATCTCATACTCCTGGCCCCTGATTTACCTCCCTACCCCCCTGATATTTAGCTCATGACCCTTCCTTTGTTTTTGTTTTTAAATTTTGTTTTTACATTTATTATTTTTGAGAGACAGAGTGAAACAGAGCATGAGCAGGGGAGGGGCAGAGAGAGAGAGGGAGACACAGAATCTGAAGAAGGTTCCAGGCTCTGAGCTGTCAGCACAGAGCCGGACATGATGACCCCTCCTTTGCTTTCCAGAAATCGGTGATCCACAGTCGGCAGTTTCCGTTCAGATTCCTTAATGCCCATGACTCCATCAATAACCTTGAGGTTCAACTCAAAAATAAAGGTATTTATTATCTCTCTTCTTCTGAATCCTGTTTGTTTCTCATGTCGGAGAGTAGGTGACACAGGAGCATTGGTATGTGTCAGCCTCCTGCTTTCTAGTCCCAGGGTATAAGGTGGGCAGAGGTCAGACACTTGCCAGCTCAAGGGTCTGGGCTCAGGCCGGTATTGATGGGAGGACAAATGGAGGGACCAGAAGCTGCTTGACTCAGTTGCTTACCTGTCATCACACAGCATTGCCACTTCCTTCCAACACAAAACTGATGCATACGATAATGAGTAGAAATGCAAGAAAGGACAAGAATTGGACCTATCGGAGGTATCCTTACAACCCAAGTCGTCGGGAACTTCGGACAACAATGATGATACCTGTGATATACGAGCAGCTTAAGCGGGAAAAGCTGAAAATACAAAAGGCCAGGTGTGTGTGTGTGTGTACATGCACAAATGTGCATATGTGCATGTGCTATCTGGGAGCAAAGGGTGGGCACCAAGAGTCACCCTTACAGGACTTGGGAGTCATCTAAAACCCGAACTTTTATTCTGTAAAGACATACTTGTCCCAGTGGCTCAGACTTGCCTGGTTCCAATCATCTCTTGCATAGCAAACCTTGTCTTTAACATTGTCCTATGGAGAGATCATAAAAAAAAACATGTTTTGGCCTTCAATTCATTTTATTTTATTTTCATGTTTACTTTTTATTTTTGGGGGGGGGGGGCAGAGAGAAGGAGAGAGAGAGGATCCCAAGCAGGCTCTACACTGACAGCAGAGAGCCTGATGTGGGGCTCGAACTCAGGAACTGTGTGACCATGACCTGAGCCAAAGGTGGATGCTCAATCGACTGAGCCACCCAGGTGCCCTTAGGCCTCTAATTTATTATGTGATTGTTTTATTGGTTTCTGTGGGTTCTGTGAATCTGCATAATATTTCTCTTTCTCTTAGTGTATGCTAGTGTCCTCTGCTTCTGCTCTGGTTTCATTTCTTTTTCTTCTCCAAATAAGATGTCTGTTTGTTCTTTTTGTTTCTGTCTCTTTCTCAGTCTTTATTTTCTGACTCATTTGCTTTCTTTCTTTATACATATACAAGATATGTGTAAAAAATCTTTACATATTTATAAAGATAGTTAATACCAAGCAGGCTCAAAGTCAGACATAAACCTGTAAGTTTGATGAAGTCCCAGCACTCTGTCCTTCAGGTGCTTCAACAGTATCTTCATTCAAGATACTTCATTCATTCGAGACAAACTCAGGGCTCATCTAACCTACTACAATCAGTGTAGGTTAGATGAATCAGTGAATCCTCTGAATCAGTGAATCAGTGGCTGAACACACGGCCATTTAAGAATGAAGCTTGGCGTACTGTCTAAACAATGTGCCTTCTCTGACCAGTAGACTGGCCACTAGCCACATGTGGCCAATTGGACCTAACATGCACTAGATTTTGAGGACAGTATGAAAAAGGATGTAAAATATCTCCATAACTTTTGTATTAATTCTATGTTAAAATGAAAATATTTTAACATCCTATGTTAAATATCATATTAAGTTAATTTCTCCTGTTTCTTTTTTTAATGTGGCTACTAAAAATTTTTAATTACATGTGTAATTTAAATTTTATTTTATTTCATTAATTGTAACTTGGATAACACTGGTAGAGACTATTGAATTTTCTAGATTGAAAACAGTATTATGAAAAGATTTTAAACACATACACACAATGAAAATAGTATAATGGACTCCCATAAAAGTGTTAGCATATTCAGTGATTATTTAGATTTTACCATAGTTCCTTTCCTGGTCCCTTCTTTTTAGGGGAAAGATGGTCTTAAGAAGATGTTTTTAAGAATGGTGAATAATATGATACATTTTATTTCATCCTTTCATATTTCACGTGTGTTTTTTTTTTAATTTTTTAATGCTTATTTATATTTGAGAGAAAGAGAGAGAGAGAAAGAGTACAAGTGGGAGAGGGACAGAAAGAAAGGGAGTTAGAATCTGAAGCAGGCTTCAGGCTCTGAGCTGTCAGCACAGAGCCTGATGCAGAGCTCAAACCCACAAACCGTGAGATTATGACCTGAGCCAAAGTCAGACATTTAACTCACTGAGTCACCCAGGTGCCCCTCACATGTATCTTTTAAAACAGGCATTTTCAGGGTGCCTGGGTGGCTTAGTCAGTTGAGTGTGTGCCTCTTGATTTTGACTCAGGTCATGATCTCACAGTTTATGAGTTTGAGCCTCAAGTCAGAATCTGTGCTAGCAGTGCAGGGCCTGCTTGGGATTCTCTCCTTCTCTCTCCCTCTGCCCCTTCCCTGCTCATGCTAGCTCTTTCTCAAAATAAATAAATACTTAAGAAAAAGAAATTAAAACAGATATTGTCTTATGTAATTAAAATGTCATTAATATACCTAATAGAACTGAAAATAATTCCTTGGTATTATCATTTATTATCTAGTCCATATTGAAAATTCCCAATTATCTCAAAAGTATGATTTCACAATTTTTTTCAAATCAAAATCCAAATAAGGCACACACATTACATTTAATTATTAAGTGTCTTATTTTTTTTTTAATCTTTTCATTTTCTTCATGCCATTGACTTGCTGTAGAAACTGGGTTCAAGGGCTTCACAGAATGTCCCACATTCTGGATTTGTCAACTTCCTCATGGTGTCTTCTAACTTGTTTCTCTGTTTCATGTACTGAGGGCATTAACTCTAAAGGCTTGTATAGATTCAGATTTCACTTTTTTTTTCTTTGCAAGAATATTTCATAGTACATCCTCTGTACACTATGAGTGAGATTAGCAGACTTCTTTTTTTAACCTTGTAAAATACAGGCTCATGAGGCACCAAAGATCTGGTGGTCGTACTCAGTGTGATGCAAACTAAGATTGACTCAGGTGCTTAAATGGTTATAGCCTGATATCTTCACTGGAAGTTGATAGTTCATCCATTGGTGATCTTTTCCTGAACTAATTGTTTCATTAACAGTTCTAGAATGGGAGTTTTCTATCATTCCCATATTCATTAGCTGGAATTCTATAAAGAATTTGCCTTATCAACTAAAGCTGTTTAGTTACCCTGGAGTAGAGATTCTACTAGAAACATGAGGTGAATGTTCTTTTTTTGGTCCCCTTTAATTGCCTCTTTTCAGAATAAGGAGTTAGTATTCTTTAAAATGCAATTTAAGGGGGGGAGGGGGGATGGGCATGGAGGAGGGCACTTGTGGGGATGAGCACTGGGTGTTATGTGGAAACTAATTTGACAATAAACTATTTGTAAAAATAAATAAATAAATAAAAATAAAAAGCCTAAAAAAAAAATTAAAAAATACAATTTAAGGAGTACTTGGGTGGCTCAGTCGGTTGGGTGTGTGACTTTGGCTCAGGTCATGATCTTGTGGTTCATAAGTTCAAGCCCCGTGTCAGGCTCTGTGCTGACAATTCGGAGCCTAGAGCCTGCTTCGGATTCTGTGTCTCCCTCTCTAAGTTAAATGTTGCCTCATGAAGTAAGTATGGGTTGATGTGGCAGGTGTGGCAAACGATTTCAGAGAGTGGAACAGGAGATGCTTTCTCTCCAGCCATGAGACTGGGTTAGAAGAGTCCTATAGGACGGGTGCAAGGGAGGTTCTGTCTCGATCTTCTCTACTTGCAATGGAGGCAGGCTGCAGAAGGAGTGTGAACACTTTATTCCGGTGTGGCAAGTTCTCATCTTCCCATCTGCCTCAAGATGGCAAACAGAGAAGCCCCTGAGCCCTTTTGTGTCTTTTCTGCCTGCAGACAGTGGAAATATGATGGTGAAATGCTGGCTCGGTATCGGCAAGCCCTAGAGACAGCTGTGAACCTCTCCGTGAAACACAACCTGCCCCCACTGCCGGGCCGCACCATCTTGGTCTATCTGACAGATGCCGATGCGGATCAGTTCTGTCCCAAGCGCAACCCAGAAGGGGTAAAAAAAAAAAAATTAAAAGGTGGGGGGTTGGTAGGATGCTGGGGATTTTGAGAGCTATCCTGTTCCCAGATGTGGCTCTCCCAAGGAAGCACTCAAAACTAAAATAAATGGCATACATTTGCTTCTCGGGATCAGACCTTGGTTCCTAGGGACAATTCCTAGAATGTTGTCTTAAGCCTGTTCGGGAATTACAGTACTTATATTTCACATTTGGCTGGTGCTTAATTCTTTCTAAATTTCTGTCACCGAAGCATGCTTCATTTTTACTTCCTACATCCCAGTGTTAAATTTGGGCAGGACTGCTGGTCCTTCTCCACCTTCCTCCGTGACCAGCTCTTCCTGAGAGCTACTGAAGCTGTCCCTTCCTAACTGGAGATTTTGTCTCTTTTCCCCAACCAATGGAGGCATTTGGCCTTCAGGGCTGGATGGGCAAGGGTGGGTTTCAAAATAGGGGAGCCAGGGCGCCTGGCTGGCTCAGTCCGTTACTCTTGATCTCAGGGTGGTGAGTTCAAGCCCCATGTTGGGCATGGAGCCTACTTAAAAAAATAGGGGATCCATATTTCACCATGATGTTTGTCCAATCAGCCCCCCCTAAACTATGTGCTGCTACTGATTGGGATGGTAATTGCACGGGCAGAGCAGGCGGATCTCTTACTGTGCGGAAGAGGCACTGTGAAGACTATCACAGTTAAGGCAGAAGAAGGTATCCTGAAGACGGCCAGCATACTCCAGGCTCAATTTCAGGTCAGATACCCGCCCCCACTGTGCAAAAATGCATGAATGGACACAGCCCTGGATACAGGGTGGAAAATCAGGAAAGGCTTGGACATATACAGTGCTGAAGATTCCCGAGCAGAATTGGGTGTTTGTTGCTTACCAATCATCTCCCATGCAAACAAGGAACGTGAGACTCTTTCTTTCAGGAGCCAGATGGAGAGGATGAATGGTCCCTGCACACTTTTGGGAAGCATCTGTTGTCTCTGGCTGCCCAAAGGGTCCCTGTGAGTACTCCCCAGTCCCTGAGAAACCCTCCCCACCCTCACCATTCCCTCCACAACTGATGTATCTAATTTCTCAAAGATCATCTCTCAAACGAGGGGCAGTACCCACACCCGCTCCCTGCTGGCTGCAGCCCCTGCCCAGTGGTGTGCTGGTAATTCTTTAACAACCAGCACTCTGGAAAAAAAATGAGTCTTGGTTAATAATAGCATTTGCTAATTTCTATGGTGTAAATTAGTCCTATCATGGCTGATTTCAAGTTACCACCATGGTATCGGTGAACAGAGGTGAGAAGAGATGCTGAGTAGTACACCATTATATAGTATTTCTACAACATAGATAAGTATGTAAATAAGATCTATATAATGGTAAAATGTAGTAAAATAACTAGGAAGTAATGAGTTTCAAGTATTTATTACCTTTGTTTTTAATATAATTTACTTAACTATAAGTTTATACAGTTTAATGTTTAATAGTGGCAATATTTAACAATTGGATCACAAAAATTCCTAAAAATTTAAGTCAGCTCTTGTGAGCTTGAGTGTGCCAGCTACAGCACACCACTGCCCCTCCCCTAACTTTCTTTCCCCTCCAAGACAGGGTGTAGTGACCTCCCCCATCCTAAGGGCCCTCAGGGGAGGCAATTTCCATTCCTTTCAGAGGAATGCTGAGGAGGAATTCCTTTCAGAGTTCTCCTAATCCCCTAGGCCCTAGAGATCTCTTCTCTTGATGTCCTGAACTTATTAGTATTTCTTCTGTCCCTCTGCTCCCTGGTCTCTGCCCCTCCCTTTTCATCTTACAGGTGGACAGGGTCATCCTCTTCGGCAATAATATGTATGAGAAACTGATAAATGAGGCCAAACAGCTTTTCTGGCAGCATGTGAATTCCAAGTGCCTCTTTGTTTGTGTTCCCCTAAGTAGGACATGTTACACGTAAGAATGCTCAAACTCCTTGTCCAGTGCCAAAAGTTAGGTTTCCATGTTTCTTCTCTACCCCCACTGATGCTTGGAACATTCCCACTCACCAGGTGCCTCCCCATCTCTGCCTTCTACCTCTGTTGCACTTCCAGTACTAGAACCTTCCCTAAAGTCTTCAGCCTAACTCCATACCCCTTTGTGAGGGTCCATCCCAGCCCCAGACTAGCACATGACCCTATTAAAAGTGCAGAGGTGCGGTATCTATCCTAGAGGGCAGGGACTCTGTTCCTGGCACTGTTTCTGATTGTTGCTTCTTTTTTTGCCAGATTATCAGATTCAAATCCTAATGACGTGACACTCTCGGGCTGTAATGACGGAATACTGAAGTGAGTACAGAATGGACACAGAAGGGGTTGGGAGCTTTGTTAAGAGTATCTTTCAGAGATTACTTGTGGCTTCCATTCCACTTGCTTTTCTTTTTAAGCGAGATAGAAGCTTATTTTTCCTTTGCCGCTTTCCAGATGTAGCAGCAGCAGAGTGTTACAGGGACCCAGGCACCTTCTATCTTATTGTTCCACCATCCTCAAATACTCTGCTTTCCCTCATGGTTCAAGACAGCTGCTCCAGCACCAACCTTCATTTTTGTATTACATCTAGTAGGAAGGAAGAGAAGGGGACAGGGGAGGTTGCACTGTTTGCTTTTAAGGTAACAACTCAAGAGTTGGTCACATCATTTCTATTCATTCTTTATTGCCTCTGTTCCACTCCTGATCCAGAGGAAATCTCATGCTAAATTTATTTGTAGATGACAAATTTATAGAAATCTTTTAACTTTGTCTCCATGCTTAGCCATCTTATTTACTTGTTTTCTCTCTCCTACCTTTTCCTTTGTATGCCTCCACTGCCCCCAGCTCCTAGTAGGAAGCCTCATGCCCATTCCTCCTCCAGAGAGCTTTCACAGCTGATACAGAGCTGATCAAGCTCTGAATGGGATGGCCTTAGTCTTTAACCTTTAATCTTAACCTTTGCCAGCCTAACTGCCCCTGGCCCAACGGAAAGCCCATAATAACCATGCCTAGCAGAAAGTGCTGGAGCTGGGTGTCTTCTCTGTTCCTTCATCCCCATGGTTCTGCACCCCTGTTGATTTTAAGTCTGCATTCACTGCTTATGGTCGTCTTCTTAAGGGGCTACAGTTAACCAGGTGACCTACCCTCGCTATATCTTTGTCCCCTGCCCACTTGGAAGACCTGCTTGAGTCTGACTCTGGTATGCACTCTTACTTATTTTGTCATACTTATTTCAGGTTCATTGCAGAGCGCGGGGACTCCTGTCTTCTAGAGCACGTGGGCCAAATGGACAAAATATTCAATATTCCACCACCTCCAGGAAAGACTGGGGACCTGTCTCTCCGGCCCCTGGAAGAGAACACTCTAAGCCCCTTGGCTCTGATTTCCCAGCACGGGTCAGTCTATGTTTCTATGCCTTTGTGAATTGGGAGAGACTGCGGTCAAAACCTGCAGAAATTCAGGTGTTTGCAGTTCTGGCTGTGGAGATGCTGTTTGTTCTACTCACTGAGTAGAACTCATCTCTTTCCCAGGTAGGGATTTCTCTGACGGAGGAAGTTGTCAGATAGTGAGCATACGACTTTCTCTACCTGGGCAAGGGGGTCAGAATGTGAAGCGGGCAGCAGGCAGCACCCACCATAGACATACAGCCAGGGCTCAGGCAGAGGGCTTAGGAGAACAGGCCCTGGCTTTCTCATCACAGCTTTGCCAAGTAGTAGCTTGAGTCTTGGGTTGTTTTTAACTTCTTAAAACTTCAGTTTTTTGATTACTAAAATGGAAATAATGATTGTGCTTACCTCATAGCGTGGGCAAATAGTAAGTGTATAGTAATCAGCTGACAAAGAGGGGTGCGTGAGAAATGGCGAGTAGAGTTTAAGTTCCAGGGCTCTACAGGGGAGGCTATGAGCAGGTTATTCTCTCGAGGGCTGCTGGACATCCCCTTGCCGTCTGTCCTACCTTACTGGTACCAGCTAGTGCTGAAGGATGTGCTCAGCCCCATCTGTGGAATTGGCATGTGGCGCTGATGGCTAGAGTGAGCCACGCCTCTGCTTACCCCAAGGTGGCGCAGCATCAGGCTTTTCATTTCCTCCACCTTCCGGGACATGCACGGGGAGCGGGACCTGCTGCTGAGGTCCGTGTTGCCAGCGTTGCAGGCCCAAGCGGCCCCTCACCACCTCAGCCTTCATGCCATTGACCTGCGCTGGGGTGTCACTGAGGAGGAGACCCGGAGGAACAGGTGAGGGGGCCACAGAGAAGAGCTGGGACAGAGATGAGGGGCTTGAGTGGTAGAACTGAGGCGGGTAGGGTTGAGGCTGCATGGGAGGTTGAGGGCCTAGGGCAGGGACTGCTGTTTGGATGCTGACAAAGGCAGCCTGCCTTTACTTTGCTCAGTTTTGAGCCAGGGCCCTGTCTTCCTATTTATACCTGTATTCCCTGATCTGATGCCTCCATAACCATGTCTGCAGACAACTAGAAGTGTGCCTTGGGGAGGTGGAGAACTCACAGCTGTTTGTGGGGATCCTGGGCTTCCGCTATGGCTATGTTCCCCCCGACTACAACCTCCCTGACCATCCTCACTTCCGCTGGGTAAGGCAGGTTGGGGGTTGGAGTGGGGTCCAGGGAGGAAACAAAGGTTGGGGCAAGTGTGGAGAGAAGCCACAGTGTGTTAGAAACCTTGGGACTAGGTCCATGAGACTTGAAGGTGAAACCCAGGCAGAAGGTTCTGTAAGTGGCCAAGTCCTAGATGAGGGAATTCCTTTGAGAAGTACCTCCCAGTTGGCCAAGAGATGCGAGGGGTAAGAGGGTAGGTCTGTTTAGGGTTTGCTATCAGACAGATCTGGGTTCTGATCTCCATTCTGTCCTTTACAGATTGTGTGACTTTGTGGGAAATGGCTAATCCTAACCTAGCCTCAACTTCCCCATATATTAAAGAGAAACAGTGGAGTCTACATTGCAGGGTTACTATAAGGATTAGAAACCTATATTTTAAAATGCTCAACACGTGACAGGCATTCAATACATGTTACCTACTAGCTATGTTTTGTTGACTTGTGTCTGGAGGGAGGGAGGAACATTGCTGAGATCCGGGGTCTTGGCAGATCTCAGGGAAGGGGTCAATGTGACCTGGAACTGAACCAGCCTGTTCTCTGCCCTCTCCCGTCAGGCCCAGCAGTACCCTCCAGGTCGCTCTGTGACAGAGATGGAGGTGATGCAGTTCCTGAATCGGGGCCTTCGCCAGCAGCCCTCTGCACAAGCTCTCATCTACTTCCGGGATCCCAGCTTCCTCAGGTACCTGCTGTTGCCTCTGGGCCTATCTTCTCTCTCCGCAGCATTCAGAGAATAGGAGGGGGAGCTAGAGGAGAGCACAGAGCTCAGAAAGCTTGCCTCGCAGCATCAAATCAGCCCTGCCACCAAAGCCAGGTGATCTCTGCTTGCGGAGTTTCAGGGAACCACAACCGGGTCTGATGGTTGGGGCTGAAGAGAGGCTGGGGTCTGTGTGTAGCCTCACTCTTGGGGTATCTTTGGTGGTCAGCTCTGTCCCGGATGCATGGAAATCTGACTTTACTTCTGAGTCTGAAGAGGCTGCACATCGGATCTCAGAACTGAAGAGCTACCTGAGCAGACAACAAGGGATTACCTGTCGTAGGTGAGTTGGGGTGGGGGCAGGGTGGATAGAGAGCCCCTGCATGGAGGGATAGAGGGAGAGGGGGCCAGGCCTGCTCTGACTCTGTGCATGCTTTGCCTGTAGATACCCCTGTGAGTGGGGGGGTGTGGCGGCCGGCCGGCCCTATGCTGGGGGGCTGGAAGAGTTTGGAAAGTTGGTTCTGCAGGATGTGTGGAATATGATCCAGAAGCTTTACCTACAGGTCAGCAGGGGCACCCATGGCCAGGGGAGTGGAGAGAAGGTAGGGTACTCTGGATAGTCCTGGGTGGGAAGTAATTTGTTGGGGGCTCTGTGAGTTTTCAGGCCTGGGGGTCCTGAAGGGCATGGAAACATTGTCAGTCACTGTCCCATGTGCCTTCAGCCTGGGGCCCAGCTGGAACAGCCAGTGTCCATCCCAGATGATGACTCGGTCCAGGCCACCTTCCAGCAGCTGCAGAACCCACCAAGTCCTGCCCGACCACACCTTCTGCAGGACACAGTGAAGCAGCTAACGCTGTACCGAGGGAGGCTGAGCCTGGTGACTGGGCAGTCAGGACAGGGCAAGACGGCCTTCCTGGTACATAGTCTCAGAGCCCTGGGTGGGAGGAAGTGAGGGCCGTATGGGCTAAAGAAGCGGGGCACAGGGACTTGTGCATGTAGCAGTGTGACCATGTTTTCTCTTTGCTGTCCACACAGGCATCCCTTGTGTCAGCGCTGCAAGCTCCTGATGTGGCCAAGGTGGCCCCCTTAGTCTTCTTTCACTTTTCAGGGGCCCGCCCTGACCAGGGTCTTGCCCTTACCCTGCTCAGACGCCTCTGTGCCTATCTGCATAGCCAACTGCAAAAGCCAGGTGCCCTCGCCACCAGCTACCGGTGTGTATCCACAGCCCAGCCTTGTTGATGCCACATGATACCGCCCTGTGTCTCCCTCTCCCATTGACCCTGTCCTTACAGGGGCCTGGTATGGGAGCTCCAGCAGGAGCTACTGCCCATGTATGCTCAGTCCCTGAAAAGTGGCCAAACCCTGGTACTGATCATCGATGGGGCCGACAGGTTGGTGGGTCAGCATGGGCAGCTGGTCTCGGACTGGATCCCAAAGACCCTTCCCCCGGTAAGTGTGAGAAGGAGGTGGGGGTGGGATACAGTCGTGGGGGCAGGGGCCTCTCCAACATTGTCCTCTTCTTTTTCCTTCCACCTTCTTCTCTTTTTTGCCCAAATATCACAGCGGGTGCACTTGGTACTGAGTGTGTCTACTGATACGGGTCTGGGGCAGACCCTTGAGCAGAGCCAAGGTGCCCATGTGGTAGCCCTAGGACCTCTGGAGCCATCTGCCCGGGCCCAGCTGGTGAGAGAAGAGCTGGCCGTGTATGGGAAGCGGCTGGAGGAGTCACCTTTTAACAACCAGGTTGGATGTAGGCGAGGGCTGGAGGGTGTGTGGCCCCAGGGTGCTGAGGCTGCCAGCTGCCCCAGGCAGCCCACTCCTTTGTTTCTCAGGAACTCTGTGCCAGGGGAGGCTGCTAATAAGATAACTGGGATTCCTTATAACACCAGCCAGCCTTTTCCCCCTAGTTAACGGCCTCCCAGGGCCGGTCCTGGGGAGGGGAGGACTAAGGCTATGATTCTTGAGTGGGGTGGGCTGAACTATAGGGGCTTTCTAGAGAGGAGAGCTGGCTGGCAGAGCAGTGTAGCCAAGGGATGGCTGTGAGGTGATTCCATCAGGTCACTGCTGGGGACTCTCAGAGGAGGAACTGCCCTGCAGCAGGCTTGGTGCTTGGGGTGGAGCTCAGGGGGTTGAGGGCTGGCTGTGGCAGGCTCTCTGCTCCCCACACTGAGTCCCCTTCATCTTGTCAGATGCGGCTGCTGCTGGTGAAGCGGGGGTCGTCTCTGCCACTCTACCTGCGTTTGGTCACAGATCACCTGAGGCTCTACACACTCTATGAGCAGGTTGGTTAGGGATGTAAACCATCACCACTCATTTTCTGAGTCCTAATCCACTTCCCATTCTTCATTCAGCTTCTTTCACCCCCATCCCTCTACTTTTCCTACCCTCATCCTGTGCCATCTTGTGATCACCAATCCCCATCTTGGCCCACCCCTACTCTCACTTTTCTCCCACTGTTTCTCTTCCTTTTTTCATCCTTTCCCACAGTTTCTCCAGCTGCCCACTTCCTTCCCCACAACGAAAGCCACCTCTTTTCCTCGTCTCACTGGCTGAAGCCCGGTCTTGTCTTCTCCCAGGTGTCTGACAGACTCCGGACCCTGCCAGCCACTGTCCCCCTGCTGCTGCAGCACATCCTGGGCACGCTGGAACAAGAGCACGGCCCTGACATCCTTCCCCAGGCTTTGGCCACCCTTGAGGCCACACGCAGTGGTCAGTGCTTGGGATGGGCTGGGAGACTGAGAGCACAGGGGTTGAATGACCTTGGTTCAGCTGGGGTCTCAGTGAGCAGCGTAAGGAGGAGCCAGATGTCCTGGGATGGGTATGCTGTGTGGTTTGGTGAGGGTCTCAGAGAGCTGGGCTTTTCAGGTCTGACTGTGGACCAGCTGTATGGAGTGCTGAGTGCATGGCGGATACTTCCCAGGGGAGCCGAGAGCTGGGATGTAGCAGTGGCTGCTGGGGACAGCAGGGACCCCTTCCCCATGGGCCCATTTGCCTATCTTGTCCAGAGTCTGCGCAGGTACAGCTGCTCCCAAATGAGCTCCCACCAACCTCCTGTGCCTTCACAGCATTGAGCCAGAACCCCATGTGGTCCTTTCCATCCCACCCTTCCCTCATTATAGCCCCTGACACCCATCTCCCAGGCCCTAAATGGGTTGCCACTCAAGTTACCACTATGTGGAGTGGGAATAGGAGTCCACAGCTGTGCCAGGTACTCACTGACATGCCCTTTCCCTCCTCTCCTGTCCTCTTTCCCTCACGTGAGGACAGTTTGCTAGGGGAGGGCCCCCTGGAGCGCACGGGTGCCCGGCTCTGCCTCCCTGCCGGGCCCCTGAGGACAGCAGCCAGATGTCGATATGGGAAGAGGCCAGGGCTGGAGAAGACAGCACACACCCTCATCGCAGGTGATTGCAGCTCAAACTGACCCCGGGGCACTGAGTGTGTGGCCTGCACCCGGAGGCCAGGACCACCCACTGGTGCTCCCCATCGGCTGGCCCCTCACCTGCCACCCCAGTGGGTTGATGACTTTTGCTGTAGCCTGTGGAATTCGATCTTTGGAGATGCTTTAAGGCTGAGCCCATCTCAATGTCTGTTCTGTGACCCACACCTACAGCTCAGCTCTGGAAGACATGTGACCCCGATGCCTCAGGCACCTTCCGAAGTTGCCTTCCTGAGGCTCTGGGAGACCTGCCTCACCACCTGGTTAGTCTTGAGATCCCATAGGCACCTTTTCCCAAGCAACTGCTTTGACTGTTCTGAGGCCCCACTCCCCCTTGAGCACCCCCACCATCACCACTGCCATGACACCCCTCTACCTTTCTCCTTTCAGTTTCCCTGCCCTCTTTCTTGAGATCCTTTGTCCCAGCTCCTAGGTTGAGGTCCTGGCTGCATAGGCAAGGTCTAAAACTAGACTATTCTTCCTCACCTGCCTCATTGTATCCTAATAAATCCAATGAACTTCCCAGCTCCAGAGCGGGAACCGTGACCTTCTTGCAAAATTCCTCACCAATCTCCATGTGGTTGCTGCACACCTGGAACTGGGTCTGGTCTCTCGGCTCCTGGAGGCCCATGCCCTCTTTGGTGAGAGGTGGCTTCTCTGAGATCTGGGCTTCCTGGGTGTGTTCATGGGGGGGCCTTCTCCGGGGGAGGTATAATGCAAAGAACAGTTAAATTTCTATTCTAGGTTAAAAATGCCAAGAGGGTAAGCAAGAGATTTTCAGGGGACCTTCTGCCCAGATCTCTTAGACCAAAGGTTCCCAAACTTTATTTAATAGGCATCAAATTACCTAAGATTGTTGTTCAAACTGCAGATCTCTGGGTCCCCAGATTCTGGATCCCTCAGTCTGGAGCAGGGCCTAAGGCTTTGTACTTCTAATAGGCATTCCTGACATGGGGTCAGAAGACTTTGAGACGACATTTTAGACACACTGTCTGACATACTTGGTTAATGGAGTGAATGGGGTCCTGGCTACCTCTCCAGTGACACTCTGCTTCTTTTCCATAGCTTCCTCAGTTCCTGAAGAGGAACCAAGTCTTCCTGAGACTGACACTGCTGTGTTTCACACCTTCCTGAGGCAGCAGGCTCCAGTCCTCAACCAGTACCCCCTGCTCCTGCCCCAGCAGGCAGCCAACCAGCCTCGGGACTCGCCTCTTTGCCACCAGGCCCCCCAGCTCTCCCAGCGGTGGCACCTCCAGCACATGCTACGATGGCTTAATAAACCCCACACCGTGGAGGGCCAGCAGAGGTAAGGCCCTTGGCCCCAGATGCTGGTAAGCCCACCAGAGAGCAAGCTACAGTCCTTTCTGAAACTGGAGAAAAAAGGACAGACCAGAGTCACCGTGGAGAGGGGGATTCGGGCACAAAAATCCAAACATGACTTTCCGTTCGCTTCCTTCCCTGAATTCCCCATTTCTTCCCTTTCTTCCTCCTCTCTCTAGCTCCAGCCTGTCTTTGACAGTTTCCTCATCCCCCACAGCAGTAGCCCTCTCCCCCAGGGGGCAAAGAGCTGCTGTAGGCACCGCCAATGGGATGGTTTACCTGTTGGACCTGAAAACCTGGCAGGTATGACACTCAAGGCAGGCAGAGGTTGCCTCCAGAAAAAGCCTCACAGACTACCATGAAGCCTTAGGCAAGCTAGCCCTACCTGTCATCACCCTGTTTGATTTGGCAACTTTTATTCCCTCACATCAGATCAAAAGCTTAGTTACAAAATCAGTACCGCTTTCCAAACATTTGCTGCACACCTTCCGTTCAAGGTTGTACTGAGGCTGTACTGCACTAAGCATCACAAGGAAAACAGAGCTAGGACATTATCTTTGCCCACCAAGTGGTCAGTTTTGTTGAAAGATATGGCATACAAGGAGAAGGGAACCAAACATAGCCATGTGACATAGACAAGGGACAGACCCTCCTCAGACCCATCAAAGTTTTCTGTGACTTGGAGATACATATGGGGTTTGGAGTAGGGGAGAAGATGTGGCCCCACTTGAACCCGAGCTTGGCCGACATCTGGAGTTGGACCCAACGCTTTTCACTTTTAACACGCATTCCTGGAGTGGGGACGGGGCCATACTTTCTCCAGCCCTTCTTGCCTTGGCCTCCTTTTTGGGTGGGGCCTGGAGTGCTAGACCCTGGGGTCAAGGGAGTGTCCTGAGCATGCTTCCCTGACTATTCTCACAGGAGGAGAAGTCTTTGGTGAGCGGCTGTGATGGTGTGTCCTCTTGCTCATTCCTCTCAGACAGTACCCTCTTTCTTACTGCCTTTGACGGGCTTCTGGAGCTCTGGGACCTGAAGGAAGGTTGTCGGTAAGGGGTCCCTCCCTCATCTCTTGGAGTGCGGGCCTTCCCTGCTTATGAGGATCCCCCAGAGGAGGGAGGTCCGGGGCCCCCAGAGCCTGACTTTGTCTCCCTGGGGTAGGGTGCTCCAGACCAAGGCTCACCAGTACCAAATCACCGGGTGCTGCCTCAGCCCAGACCGCCGGCTGTTGGCCACTGTGTGCCTGGGAGGATGCCTAAAGGTAATGACCAAGGGGCTGTGGTAGTCAAAGTGGCCCTAACTGCCAAGTCAGCCCCGTGAACTTGTTTTCTTTGTGAGGCAGAACTGCTGACTGCTTGGCCTGGGGAGGCCTTTCCTGCTGAGGGCAGGGGACTGGACAAGGTGGCTTCTGGGACTGAGAAGCTCAGGCATCTATGCTCAGTATCTAGATTCCTCTCCTTTTCTCTCCTTCAGCTGTGGGACACAGTCCGCGGGCAACTGTCCTTCGAGCACACCTGTCCCAGGCCCCTGAACTGCATTGCTTTCCACCCAGAGGGGCAGGTGATAGCTGCAGGCAGCTGGGCTGGCAGTTTTGGCTTCTTCCACGTGGATGGGCTCAAAGCTATCAAGGTGAGGGGGCGCCGGGGTGGCTTAGTCGGTTAGGCGTCCGACTTTCGCTTAGGTCATGGTCTCGCGGTTCGTGGGTTCGAGCCCCGCGTCGGGCTCTGTGCTGACTGCCAGCTCGGAGCCTGGAGCCTGTTTCAGTCTGTGTCTCCCTCTCTCTCTGACCCTCCCCTGCTCACGCTGTCTCTCTCTCTCTCTCTCCTAGAAATAAATAAAACATAAAAAAAAAAAAAAAAAAAAATTTAAAAAAAAAAAAGCTATCAAGGTGAGATGGGTCCTGTGTAGCCGTGCAGTAGAAAGCTCAAGAGGGAGGGAGCAGCAGATGTGGAGTGATGGACACCCACATTCTGTTTCACTTTGGGCTTATGTGGAGAGCAGGTCCTGATGTTTCCATTTCTCCCTCCTCACATAGGAACTGGGAGCCCCGGGAGCCTCTGTCCGTACCTTGGCGTTCAATGTGCCTGGGCGGGTTGTGGCTGTGGGTCGGCTGGACGGGATGGTGGAGCTGTGGTCCTGGCATGAGGGGGCACGGCTGGCTGCCTTCCCTGCCCACCATGGCACTGTGGCCACTGCCCTTTTCCTGCGTACTGGGTGCCAGTTACTGACAGCCGGAGAAGACGGCAAGGTCAGGTTGCAGAGGGCTGGTGGTGGGTTCTGTGGAAGGGGTAGGCAAGGCAGGGAATACTTGGGTGAGGGTGGAGACAGGGAAGGAGCTTAGCTGGTGCAAGCTACAGGGAGAGCGGTGTAGGCGTATGCATGGGCAGCTGTCTGGAGAAGACTCTTTGGGAGGAGGACTTTCATGGGAGTGGCTGTCACTCTGGGGGTGGAAGTGGTGGTATCTTCAAGTCCTGTTCTTGGTCCTCAGGTTCAGGTGTGGTCCGGATCTCTGGGTCATCCCCGGGGGTGCCTTGGTTCCCTTCCCCTCTCTCCTGCCCTGTCTGTGGCTGTCAACCCAGATGGCGATCAAGTGGCTGTTGGGTACCGAGCAGATGGCATCAAGATCTATAAAATTGCTTCAGGTACTGAAGAGAGGGAGGATAGGGTGTTTGAGCCTTTGGAAACAGCCTTCCCACCCTGAACTCCCTTGGAATGTCTTGCTCTGTGTTGTTTGGTCATTCTCTAGGTTCCCCGGGGGCCCAGTGTCACACACTAGATGTGGCAGTGTCCGCGCTGGCCTGGCTCAGCCCTGAGGTGTTGGTGAGTGGTGCAGAAGATGGGTCCCTGCGAGGCTGGCATCTCAAGGAAAGTTCCCTTCAGTCCCTCTGGCTCTTGTCCAGATACCGGAAACCCGTGTTGGGATTGGCCACCTCCAACGAACTCTTGGCGTCTGCCTCAGGTACTGCGGGGCAGTGGGTAGCTTTCTTTTAAATATGCTAATAGCTTCCCTCAAGTTATATGTGTGTGCATACAAGAAAATATACACACATACTCTTTTTTTTTTTTTTTTTAACAACTTTGAAAATGCTTTTAAATGCATTTATCTTACATTAGCAGTCTAGACTGTTTCTTCTTATTTCCTAACCCTGTTTCTGGGACCTCTTTGCAATCCCTATTATCCTTTGAGTTTCTGCCCAGTGGGACACTTTGCTTTGTGGAGTGACGTTCCCTTATGAGGAGAGATGTTGAGGTGAAAATGAGGAGAGAGGCCTTAGTCCTCTCCAGGTAGGAAGGTTGGTCCAAGTGACAGTGGACACTTGAGAAGAGGAGGGTCTGGAGGTGTTGCAGGGAGTTAGACAGCTGAAGAGCGAGAGCCGGGAGTGCCTGATATTCCTGTCCCGTGAACTCATATGATGACCAACCCCTGCTTTCCACAGCCTCTGACTCACTGATATTCTCCCTGGAGCTGTACTCTGGGACATCGCCTTCACCCCACATGATTGCCTTTGTCTTTGGGGTCCTGTCACACTTCCTCTCCCAGAGAATCTTCCTTTCTCCTTATCTCCATTGCAGAAGATTTCACAGTGCGGCTCTGGCCAAAGCAATTGCTGATACTTCCCCAAAAGGCAGAAGACTTTCCCTGTGGCACTGAGCTCCGGGGACATGAGGGGCCTGTAAGCTGCTGTAGCTTCAGCACCGATGGAGGCAGGCTGGCCACTGGGGGCAGGGACCGGGTGAGCCACAAGGGTCTTCCCTCCTTGGGCCTCAGAGTCCTCAACAGCCCATTACCCATTGCTCCCTAAGGTATTTTGCTTTGCCACACATCTCCTATGCCACATTTGCCCACCACCCCTTCCTTGATACTCCCTTTCCCTTTAAAATTTCTTGCCCCAATGGGGCGCCTGCGTGGCTCAGTCGTTTAAGCGACCAACTTCGGTTCAGGTCATGATCTCACGGTTCATGGGTTCAAGGCCCGCATCAGGCTCTGTGCTGACAGCTGGCTCAGAGCCTGGAGCCTGCTTCAGATTCTGTGTCTCCCCTCTCTGTGGCTCTCCCCTACTCATGCTCTGTCTCTGTCTCTCTTAAAAATAAATAAAAAACATTTAAAAAAAAATAAAAAATAAAATTTCTTGCCCCGAGTGCCCCTGGTGTTCCTACCTCCCTCCTATGGTCCTGACTGCCTCTCTTGGTACCTATCCAGAGTCTCTTCTGCTGGGATGTGCGGATGCCCAAAGCCCCTGTTCTGATTTGCTCCTTCTCTGCCTGTCACCGTGACTGGGTCACTGGCTGTGCCTGGACCAAAGACAACCTACTGGTAAGGGAAGAGGTGGGGGTGGGGCAGAGCTCAGCAGGGTTCCTGGGAGAGAACAACACTGTCCATCTCATCCTATTTCCAACACCCATTTATAATAATAGTAATAGCTGACATTTACTGAGCACTTAGTATGTGCCAGGAATTGAACTAAACTCTTTGTATGTCTTGCATCTTTTAGTCTTTACAACTCCTTGTAAAGCAGATACTACTATTATCTCTTTCACAAACAAGGATATAGAGCTCAGATAGATTAAAGAACATTTCTAAAGTCATGTAAATTATGAAGCTGAACCAGTAGACATAAGAAAGCCCATGCACTTGGGGTACTTGGGTGGCTCAATCAGTTAAGCATCTGACTTGGTTTCAGCTCAGGTCATGATCTCACAGTTTGTGAGTCTGAGCCCCACGTGGGGTTCTGTGCTGACAGTGCAGAGCCTGCTTGAGATTCTCTCTCTCCCTCTTTCTCTGCCCCTCCCCTGCTCAAGCTTTGCCTCTCTCAAAACAAATAAACATTTAAAAAAGAAGAAAAGAAAGCCCATGCTCTTAACAAGAACACAAACTGTTTCTCTAAGGACTTAGGATGCCCTGTCCCTGCAGTAAGGCTACTGCTGTGATTTCTTTAGTCCTAAGGCAAAAAACAAAAAACAGAAAAACAACTCAAATTATGGACTCAAGGTTGATGAAGCCTAGTGTTCCAGTGCAGAGTCCGTATATTATTCTCAAGAAGAGATGAGAAAGGAGTAGCAGTTGAATAAACTTGTCAGAGTCTGCTCTATCCTTGCCTTTTAAGCTGGATCTTTTCTTGGCATTGCAGACTTTTCACCTTTGTCTGGGTTTGTTGACTGACATTATGTTAATAACAGGGCCAATAGCCACTATTCACTCAGTGCTTAGTATGTACCAGGCAGTGTGCTAAGTCCTAAGTCCAGGCAGGTGCATTAGCCCCATAGCAGCCATATGAGAGAGATACACTGTTGTGTTGTTCCGTATTGAATAGATAAGAATCCTAAGGCTTAGAGACATGAACTTGCCCCAGGTCACAAAATAAATAATGGCAGAGCTAGGATTTGAACCCAGGACATCCTAAGTTCTTAATCACAAACCTTACTACTCCTCCTCCCCAATATTATAAACATACAAAAATTCTGGAGGCTTGCTGATAACCGCACTCCTCTAACCTCTGACTCTGCAGGTCTCCTGCTCCAGCGATGGCTCTGTGGGGCTATGGGACCCAGAACTCAAACAGCAACTTGGCCAGTTCCTAGGTCATCAGAGTGCTGTCAGCGCCGTGGTGGCCGTGGTGAGAAGGCAGAGGAGAGCTCAGTGGGGGCCCTAGGAAAGCTAAGGAGGCTTTGGGACACTGGGTGCTGTGCATATCTAATCTCAAAGGTAAAAGAAGTATAAAGAATGAGATACTCAGGCCTGGATTAGAGCAGGACTAGGGTATTGAGGCTGAGGGTTGGTGTGAGGGGAGGGAGAGGGCAGCTTAGTATCTGGACCTCATGCAGAATTGCAGTCCTGAGCCACCCACCCGAGTTTTCCTCACTCTTTGACAATGCCTAAGCCTTTAGTGGTCTGCCTTCACCTCCGTGGCAGGAGTCACACTCCCCATACACTGTTCAGTGGGACTCTGTTCTGATCCTGTGCTCTGGGGCAGGAAGAACACGTGGTATCTGTGGGCCGAGATGGGACCTTGAAAGTGTGGGACCATCAGGGCATAGAGCTGACGAGCATCCCTGCTCACTCAGGACCGATCAGCCACTGTGCGGCTGCCTTGGAGCCCCGGCCAGGTAAGGGATTGTCGGCCCCCTTTCCTCCCCTTCGCCCATGCTTCCTCCCTTCTTCTGACTTAGTCTCTGTGCCTTATCAGCTGGGCAGCCTGGGTCAGAGCTTCTAGTGGTGACTGTTGGACTGGATGGGGCCACACAGTTGTGGCATCCACTCTTGGTGAGTTCCCTGAAAGGACTGGGGTGGGAGGAGTGGAGAGGGTATAGTGGAATAGCCTTCTGTTGTGTTGACATTGCTGACCACCGGCCCACCTCCAGCCTTTCCTCCTAGGTGTTTCTTCTTCTTCTTTTTTTTAAGTGTTTATTTATTTTTAAGAGAGAGAAGGTGGGGAGGGGCAGAGAGAGGGAGACACAGAATCCAAAACAGGCTCCAGCTTTTGAGCTGTCAGCACATAGCCTGATGTGGGGCTCGAACCCATGAACTGTAAGATCATGATGACCTGAGCTAAAGTCAGACGCTTAACCGACTGAACCACCCAGCGCCCCCCCTTCTAGGTGTTTCAAACACACACCCTCCTGGGACACAGTGGTCCAATCAGTGCAGCTGCTGTTTCAGAGACCTCAGGCCTCCTGTTGACTACCTCAGAGGATGGTTCCATTCGGCTCTGGCAGGTACCTAAGGAAGCAGGTGAGTGAGGCATGGAGCGAGGCAACGTATGAAAGAGGGGTGTGTTAGTGGGACCATGAAAGTCAGGGTGGCCTGATACCTCCTCTTATATCCCACTAGTGGTCCAGCTTCTAACACATCACTTTCTTCCTTCTCCAGATGACAGGTATACGCCCAGGAGTCCTATAGCCATCACTGCTGTGGCCTGGGCCCCAGATGGTTCTATGGCAGTGTCTGGGAATCAAACCGGGGAACTAACCTTGTGGCACGGAGCTAAGGCCGTGGCAACAGCACAGGTGCGTTGAGGCATCCTCAGCTCCTTGTCTATGTGAGTTCTGCCCTGCCTGTGCATGCAGTGGCACATGCTAGGGTAAGAGGCTGCATAGATGTCTGGGAGGGGAAGGAAGGTTACTCCTGGCTCCTCAGGAAGACTGAAATGGACCTGTTATGTTCACAAGGCTCCAGGCCGCATCAGTGCTCTGATCTGGTACTCGGCACACACCTTGATTGTTCTCAGTGCTAATGAAAAGGTCAGCGAGTGGCAAGTGGAACTGCAGAAGGGTTCGACACCGAGAAATTTCAGGTGAAAGGGGCCAGCTGGGTTAATGTGATACCATGGTGCTCCCCTTACATCCAGGATTTTGTACAAATCACTCCACTTCTGAACTCTACTTCACCTCTACTTCTGAACTAGGTCAACAGGATGTTAATAAGTGGGGAAAAGACCCTGGGAAATTGTTTTTGGTTCCTCATCATGTCAATTTAACAGACTGAACCACCCAGGCACCCCCTGGTTAAGTTTATTTTTATTTATTTGGAGAGAGAGAGAGAGAGAGAGAGAGCAGGGGAGGGGCAGAGAGAGAGGGAGACAGAATCCCAAGCAGGCTTCACGCTGTCAGGCAGAGCCAAATGCAGGGCTTGAACCCACGAACTGTGAGATCATGTCCTGAGCCAAAATCAAGAGTTAGACGCTTAACTGAGTCACCCAGGCGTCCCTGAAATTACCTTTTAATTAAGGAAGCACAGTAGAGGAATGTGCACTTAAGTAAACCACCAGAAACATGCAGAGTGATTAGTGCTATAAGGAAAAGAGAGACATATAATTCCTGGGGGTGCAGGATTTGAGATATTTATAGTTTACAGAAGAATTGCTATTTGAGCTTGGTCTTAAAGGATGAGCAGGAATTTTCTAGACCCATAAGGGAAGGGAATAGTGTTTCAGGAAAAGGAAGTAGCATTAACAGAAATCAAGGAGGCATGAGAGGGCATCATATATTCTGGGCACAGCCAAGTCTTTGGGTTCCTGGTGAGATAGGGGCGGCAGTGTCAGGGAATTGGATTGAAAAGATAAAACTGGGGCCAGGTTGTGGAGGGCACAGTGCTAAGAATTTTGAGCAGAATAATGATCTGAAATTGAGGAAGAGGATTCTAGTGGCAGTATGGAGGATAGATAGTACAGGAGAGATGTGAAGGGCAGGGAGATCACCTGTACAGCAGTTGTTCTAGTCCAGGGAAGACATAATGTGGGCCCTGAGCCAGGCAGTGGGATACTAAGGGGGGATGGAGGTTTAGGCATGTGTTACAAGTAGAATCCATAGTGCTTATCATTCAGAAGGGAAGGAAAAGACAGAAATGTAAGAGAGTCCTAGTTTGGGCAGGTAAGGAGGTGGTGATAATGAATACTGATAAAAGAAGAAAAACAGAAAGGGGAAGAGAATTTGTAGTGAAGGTAATGAATTGTGTTTGTACTTCACTCCTGAGGAATTCATGGGGAGCAGAGGAGCCTGAGAGAGTCAGACTAAAATAGGAACTTTCTGTCCCATATACCTTTTTTGCGCTCCAGTCTTCACCTGAACCGAGTTCTGTTGGAGAACTTAGGGTTCCTGACAGGTGTGGCCCTGGCCCCAGACGGTCACTCCCTCATCTTGGCCAAAGCAGATTTGGAGTTGCTGCACGTGAAGCCAGGGGATGCTCCCTCTGTAATCTGGTACGTTCCAAAATGCTGTTTGCTCTTAGGCTACAGAAAGAGGAAAAGTGGGTTGGTGGTTACCCTGAAGTTTGGTGTCACTTAGAACAAAATACTGGAATCTTACAGAGAGATGTTTATGGGTTTACCTTCTTTCTTTCTTACAAACCAGGAGCGGCTTTTCAGAATATTCTATGATGTTGTCTACCCATCAAGACTATGGTGTGTTTTTCCTGCAGCCGGGGAAGTCTGGAGTTCTTTATTTCATCGTAAGTCCTATATGAGTGTATGTTAAAATGAACATTTTATTCAGGGCCAAAATATATATATATATATTTATATAATATAAAATATCATATTTTTTTAATATTTATTTTTGGGAGAGTGCAAATGAGGGAGGGGCAGAGAAAGGAGGGATAGAGGATCTGAAGCAGGCTCTGCCCTGACAGGCTGACAGAGTCCAATGTGGGTCTCAAACTCACAAACTGCAAGATTCCTACCTGAGCCAAAGTCAGATGCTCAACAGACTGAGCCACCCAGGTGCCCCCAGGACCAATATTTTTAAAACCTTGGGGCCACGATTGAGGATAAGAGGAAAGGAAAGGCATTGGTTCCAAATTCCCTTCTCTTCCTTCAACTGGAGCATTTTATAGGGGGTTTCAGCTTTCCTAGGAGGTTTTCTTTTTGATACAAAACAAGGATTCTAGTGTTAAAAAGATCACGGGAAACCACCAAAATAGGAGTTTTCTTAATTGAATTTTTTCATGTCTCTCTTGCCTTGCCACAGTGCAAGTACTGATATCTGGAACAGAACAGACGTATCTCATTGACATTACGTTGGGTGAAAGAGGGCAGACACAGAAGGGCACATGCTCCATGATTCCATCCAAATGAAGTTAAAGAACAAGCAAAAGTCACTCACAATGACAACTCAGAATGTTGTTGGCGCAGGGGGGTGGGGGGCTCTGGCATTGATACAGGGAAGGGGCGTGAAGGCAAGTTTCCAGGGTGATGGAAATGTTCTGCAGTTTGATCTGGACAGTGATTGCATGGATGTGTACATGTGTGAAAATTCATTGAGACATACATTTAAGATTTATGAAACTCTACTGTATCTAAATTATAGTTAAGAAAAGTCCTGACCAGCCCAGAGCAGAAAAGAGTTGCTTTGGCTGGGTAGGTGGGTAGGGTCAAGTGCCATGAGGAGGCTAAACAAAATGAGCCATCCTTTCACAGAGGCAAAAGGAATCAGGAGAGTTTGAAGACAGCCTGGAATTTAATCTCACCTTGGAGAATCCAAATGGAACCCTACTGTTGATAACTCAGGCCAAACCTGAATCTGGTGAGTGTGATGAGTAGATCAAAGGAGTCTGGAGATGCCTTGTGTAGGATGGATGGTAGGTCCTTCAAAGCTGGAAACCTAGTTCTAACCTCTGCCCTTGAAATGGCAGAGTCATCATATTTGTGTGCCAGCTCTGATGGGATGCTATTGAAATTCGCCAAATGCACCCAGGAAGGAGAATGGGACACAGGTGACATCTGGCAGAAAGAAGCAGAAATGCCTGAAACCCAAACTCCAGGGACAGAGCCATCTACGAATGACAGCACAGATAGCTGGTCACCACCCCCACAGCTAAAGACGCAGCAGCGTAGAAAGGTGAGTTTGAGGGAAAGGTCACAAATAGAGGGGAGGAGCATCTAGGGCTGACAGACTGATGCTTCCTTGACAGAGGAGGGCCCACTGAAAGCTCACCATACTTCTACTTTCCCTCCAAGATTCACTCAGCCTCTGTCACAGCTCTCCATGTGCTGCCTGGGCTGCTGGTGACAGCCTCAAAGGACAGAGATGTTAAGCTGTGGGAGAGACCCAGTATGCAACTGGTAAGTGTGTATGTGTGCAAGAAGGGCTAAAGGATGTCATAAGAGAGCAAACTTAGGGGAAGAGTGTGCAAAAGATGAAAATTCTGGTTTCTTCTGTCTTTGCTATGATGTGCAACTGACCTGCATCCAAATTAAAGGCATTAATGTTTAAAGGCAAATGTGAAGGGCGACTGGGTGGCTCAGTCAGTTAGGCATTGGACTTCAGCTCAGGTCATGATCTCACAGTTCATGAGTTCGAGCTTGGTGTCGGGCTCTGTGTTGACATCTCAGAGCCTGGAGCCTGCTTCATTTTCTGTGTCTCCCTCTCTCTCTGCCCCTACCCTGCTTGCACTCTGTCTTTGTCTCTCTCAAAAGTAAATAAACATTTAAAAAAAATTTTAAGGCATTAGTGTGAGAGATAAGTTAGTAAGGAGGCCTAGGCTTGTAGCCCTCATCTCCCACTTTTCTGTTCCCCATTGTAGCTGGGTCTGTTCCAGTGCGAAGGGGCTGTGAGCTGCCTGGAACCTTGGCTGGGCCCTAACTCCACCCTGCAACTCGCAGTGGGAGACTCACAGGGCAATGTGTACTTTCTGTCCTGGGAATGAAGATGTGCTACTCAGGGCAGAGACACCGCTTGTGCTAGACATACAAAGCCTGAAGGTACCAGTGGCTACTTTCTTGATTAAATTTTAAAAATAAAGTGTCAGAAAACTTCAAGTGCAGTCCTGTGTTCTGAAGTGGATGTGGACTAAGAATATGGACATTCTAATTTTTTTTTCTGATTTAACATTAATCCTTATTAGAACCACAAGAAAGAGAGCCAGATTTTTAGTTGATATTCTTTGAAACCAGGCATTAGAAATCTTGTATCGTTTGCTGGCCTCAGGATCCTGGGGGAACCATACCATTCCTGCCAGGAGGAGGGCTGAGTGATGTTGGCCAGCACTTAGTTTGAACAGAGAGCTGAAGACCTCTCACTTAGTCAAGAAAAAATAAGAGGGGCACCTGGGTGGCTCAGTTGGTTAAGTATCTGACTCTTGATTTCGGCTCAGGTCATGATCTTATAATCTTATGTGAGATCAAGCCCTGTGTCAAGCTCTAGACTGATAATGTGGAGCCTACTTGGGATTCTCTCTCTCTCTCTCTCTCTCTCTCTCTCAATAAATAAATAAAATAAAAATAAATAAATAAATAAATAAAACTTAAAAAAAAAAAAAAAGGGAAGAAAGCATAAGAGAAGGAAGAGTGAGTTGAAAGTGTCCAGTCAGGGCATTTAGAGAGACATTGAGGCTCCACTCATAGAAACAGCATCTTCTATGCAGAACTACCTGCCTAGCTGAGAGGTGAAAAGCCGGGGCACCAAAAGTAGAACGAGACTTCTGGCTTTCACACCCTCTGACAGAGCAGCAGCAGCCATTTGACTTGCACACATTCATCAATATAGTAATTCACATTCTTGGAAGAAATCACAAAAGTGTATCTCTCAAATCCAAGTTCACACACATTAAAATGAATGAAAAGGTGGAACAGTCATACCCATTGCCTCACCTCGACTGTGATCCTTTTAAGCTCTAGAACCTTATTTTCCTGTAATTCTATCTTATGAGAGAAGAAGTTCCCTGAGTTCCTTCCTAAGGGTTACGGAAAGGTTAAAGATCTTCTGTCTCAAGAATTCAAGGACTTGTATATTAGAAGCCAAGATTTTGTCGTGGGTTGGTAGGGTTCTCTTAAAGAAATACCACTGCACTCTGATCTAGAAATGAGTTTTGAGGACTTTGGGAGTTGAGGGGTACTGAATTTTATTCTCAGTTTACCCTGATTCTGGGTCTTACATGGAGAAATCACCAGAGGGACTTTTACCTTATTTCTACCAATGCCTCATGCTCTCCCTCAGCCAGAGAAAAAGACGTAAGAAATGCCATCGGCTGATGTTTTAATCATAGGTCATGCTTCTGTTTTTTCTCATGTGCCTCATGCAAAGGCTCTAAAAATACCTTCTAGACCACCTACTCCATATACCTTGTGACTAGGAGTCCAAATTAGGGTTATTTGAAATTTATGATTTATAATACTACCTAGAAACGCTAGAGATCCATGGCATGGCATCATCCTAAAAGTTGCTGGTTTCAATTTTTGGCCTTTTCCTACCCTGAAAGCATGGGCCAGGGACAGGATGAAGCCCTAGATGTGTCTCTTCTATGCTCTAAAAATTCTATAAAAGCAACCCAATCAAAGGCTAGAGGAATGGGGATATAGAAAATTAAAAGGCTAACTTGACCTTTGCTCAATAGACTCAGCTTTATTGGCCAGGCCTCCTTGAAGGGTTTTTTCCATCTTTCTTCTCTTGTAGATGGATGGCAAGGTCACAGTATAATTGCTGTGAGTGACAATAAGCAGAGACTCTAGGTAAAAGTAAGTATGTTCCCAAGGGAGTTCAGGTTTTAGTTTAAACATCTTCTCAGTTCTTATGATTAAAAAGAAATTCAGTGTTTCCTAGTATCTGGATGAGTTCCACAGTTAGAGCCATTGGATTGTGGGATCATAGAACATCAGAGCAGTCTTCTCTCCATCCACAAAAACACATTTTTCATATACCAAATTTTTTTTTTATCTATCTACCTATTTTTATACATGTTTATACCTATACACAATCTGTTTTGAAATTGAGAGCAGAGCTACTCAAAGTTTGGTTTGTAAACTAGTGCCAGTCCACAAATTATTAATGGTTCACAATAAGTACAGAAATTGAGAGTCAGCATTTAGAAATTGCTATAGGAATTGGAACAGTAATCTTATATATCTGACAAATTTAATAATAAAAACTGAAGAATTTAGCCCAGATTTCATCTGGCCAATTAAATAAGTATCAGTAATGAAGACATTTTTTGAGGAAGAGTAACAAGGTAATACTTGCACTATTGGGTCAGTAAAAGAACAATCAAGCTAGACTTACTGAACACTTAGCACATTAAATGTTTCACCCATCATGACCCATCTAGTTCTTACAATATCCCCAAGCAGTAGACACCATTACTGTTCCTATCTTATAGACAGGGAGAAGGAGGCATGAAGATTTGAACTCAGGCAGTCTTGTTCCAAGTCCATGCTTTTAGCTACTTTGTTACTCAGTTTCTCTCAAGTAGTGTGTATATATATATATACATATATATATATACACCTTACACAGCCATGTTACATTTATCAAAACTAAGCAATTAACATTGATACAATATTATTAACTACAGACATGATTTGGATTTCCCATTTTCCACCATCCATAATATAACATTGCATTTATTCATCCTGTCTCCTTAGTCTCCCCCAATTGTGAGTTTTTCAGTCTTTCTGTAACCTTGACACTTTTGAAGACTACAGCGTTATAGAATGTTTTTCAGTTTGGCTTTATCTCACGTTTTCTCATGAGTGGAATCAGACTGTGGATTTAAGGGAAGAATAAAAGATATGATACGCCTTTCATGTTACATATCTGAAGCACATGATATCAACATGACTTCTTACTGGTGATGCTAATTTTGATCACTTTAAAAAAATTTTTTTTTTGGTGCACCTGGGTGGCTCAGTTGGTTAAGCATCCAACTTCAGCTCTGGTCATGATCTTGTGGTTCGTGAGTTTGAGGCCTGCATGACCAGAGCTGTCAGCACAGAGCCTGGTGCCTACTTCAGATTCTGTGTCTCCCTCTTTCTCCACCCATCCCCTGCTCAGTCTATCTCTCTCTCTCTCTCTCTCAAAAATAAATATTTAAAAAAAATTCCCTTCCATTCTTTGTTGAATGTTTATCATGAAAGGGTGTTGGATTTTGCCAAATGCCTTTCCTGTAGCTCATGAGATGGTCATGTGACTTTTGCCGTACCCTGATTGATTTGCATATGTTGAACCAACCTTGCATTCCTTTGATAAATCTCACTTCATCATGGTGTATCATCCTTTTTATGTTACTGGTTTAGGCTTGGTAGCATTTTATTGTGCACCCATATTCTTTTTTGTTTTTTTTTTTTAATGTTTTATTTATTTTTAGGAGAGAGAGAGAGACAGCGTGAGCAGGGGAGGGTCAGAGAGAGAGGGAGTCACAGGCTGAAACAGGCTCCAGGCTCTGAGCTGGCAGTCAGCACAGAGCCCGACGCGGGGCTCGAACCCACGAACCGCGAGATCATGACCTAAGTGAAAAAACGGACACTTAACCAACTAAGCCACCCAGGCGCCCCTGTGCACCCATATTCTTAAGGAACGTTGGTCTATAGTTTTCTTTCCTGGTGATATCTTTATTGATTTTGTTTTCATATTGCTGCTTAGAATGAGTTGGGAAATATTCTCTTCTACTTTTTGGAGAAGTATGTAGTCTAGTTTTAGCAGCAGCACAGTATTTCAGTGAGTGAATATATTTAACTAGTTCCTTTCCTAGGGATCTTTTTGCATATAACAATGCTACACTGACATCATCTATATAAACACGTACATCTGTGGTTTTTAAATCAAAGGGTATGTACATTTTAAGTTTTTTTTTTTAATGTTTATTTTATTTATTTCTAGGAGAGAGAGAGTGACAGCGTGAGCAGGGGAGGGTCAGAGAGAGAGGGAGTCACAGACTCTGAAACAGGCTCCAGGCTCTGAGCTGGCAGTCAGCACAGAGCCCGACGCGGGGCTCGAACCCACTAACTGTGAGATCATGACCTAAGTGAAAGTCGGACACTTAACCGACTAAGCCACCCAGGCGCCCCCATTTTAAGTTTTGATTGGTAATTTGACTTCTAAAAAGTTGCAGGCTACTGTTTTCATTTAAATAACCTTCATTGTTATCTAATGAAGTATGGTTTTGTCTGTATGTATCTCTGTATTGCATGTGTTTACAAATAATCAGGAAGTCTTTGGATCTGACCTGGACTTTGATACTTCTTAAATGGAGCAGGGTATGTCAAAATTCATTCTACTTCTCTCCTTTCCTTCCTGAGATGTATTTAGGCTTAGTGACAAGTCCTCTAAGTGCTTCCAGATTTTTGGACATCTGCTGAGTCCTAGGATAAGTGGTGGGAGACCTGGTCTGCAGTTGGTAAATGGGGGGAAAAGTCAAGTTAGAAGATTTGGATGGGAACAGGGAACAATTCAGCCTCTGTTGTCTCTACCCTTCTTGTAATAACATCCCACAAACTCCAGTTTGCATAAAAATTGAATTAAGAGGGGGAAAAACATCAGTCTCCATTAGCATCCTTCAATGCACAGAAGCTATTCTGCTATGAAGGAACAGGATTGTGAGTAACTTGCAGCTATTGTGGGATACATAGAACAGTATCCTGAAAATGAAGAAGTACGAACGTGAGAAGTAGGTGTTGGAGAAGTTGAGCCCACAGAAGCCAGTGGTAGATTTGTGCAATTTTTATTACATAAAATATCAGAAAACTCAAAAGTACAACACAGCCCATTTTCTTGTTTGAAGATCACATCTTATCCGGGTTATTTACCATTGACATTTACCACAGCTGCAGGAAATTAAACCGAACCTTTAGAAGGTATCGCATACGGACTTGGTTGGGGCTATAGACAATGAATTCATTGTAGTTGAGGGTATAACCCTCTGGATTCAGAATTCCTGTGTCACTTGCTGGTCCTAAGGGTACTGTACTCCCATTCCTGCCAAGTAGAAGAAAGTGTGTCAACATTGGCATCTGGGTCAGAAGTTAGAACACAGAAAGTAGAGTCTTAT